TTTAAGGCCTAAAAACAACAAGATCAAACCTTTCAAAATTCTTCAATTTCGGCCAAACTCGAACCCGACGATCCCGACGTCCATTTTGTTCAAACGAGGCACTCCGAGCCTCCTTGGAACTTCCTAAGACTCGTGGTGATCTTTGTTTAACCTAAAACACAACCAAAATTAAATTCGTGAACAGTGCCATTACACGGGGTGTTTTAAAACTAGGGTTCTCGAAATAGAACTTACCTAAAACTGGTATTCCCGTGCTCGTGAGGTCCTAAGGAGTGTCGTGGTGATCTTAGATCGGACGTTGGTGTAGGATTGTGATTGTTCTTGGTGTTTGTCCGAGAGCTTGAGAGAGTTCGAGAGTAAGAGAGAGAGAGTGATACTGAAATGAAGAAAGAGAGAGAGAGAGTGAAGGGAGATGAGAGAGAGACATCCCACGGGTTTTGGGGAGGGATTTAGGGGGTAGGACCCCACCCTAAGTCCAAACACAAATTAAATTAACACATACTAATATAATTCTAACCCTAGTTTAGGATCTTAGTGTAAAACAAATACCAAATTTACGCACCTTAATCCCGTTTAAGGGCGTTTTAGTAATTTCACGTCCTCGGTATTTAGTAACTCTGGGACGGGCTGTGACAGCATCGGTCTTTCACCGCCTAGCCTAGGTGCCGCCTATTTTTAGAACAATGTTCTTGTATGATTAGGCCAACTTTTAAATAGTTTTTTTTGGTGATTATATTTTTTGAGATGGCATACAACGTTCCACAAAAATGTAAGGAGATGGAGACATATGAATTGGTAGTATCCAGCTGTGTATTTTACAGTATATTATTATATACAATGTATAAGTTATAATGCATATGCACTATACGTGACATATATAAGCTCCAAATAATTGAATCAGAAATCCTAAGTACCTAACTAATGTACACCTTATTCAACATAAAAAAATATAAATATAATAATGTGTGTGTATATATTTATCTTTTTCCCCCAAAGATCGCACTGAAATTTTTTAATTTTCTCCAAATATGGTGCTATTTACTCATATGTTTTTATACACAAAATAAATTCTGTAATTTAAATAGGGGTATGCTATCTACACATCCCATTTTATTTCTCACACACTCCTTGATAATTTATGTCCGTTGATCTTCTTCAATTCATCTGATCCAACGGTCAAAAATAAAAAAAAATATGTGAAAAATAAAATGGGGTGTGGATATTACATCCCTTTAAATAACTATTTGGTTGAAAAATTAAAATGAATTAATATACTAATATTACCTGTTCCCGATGCAACAAAAGTTCCAAAACTCAGTTCATCTCAAATCCTCACTTTCCTTTTCCAAGCACACGTGTACTTGACGTTCACGATATTCGTTGACGTTTACCTTTGTGTTACTATTTACTTTCTACCAACCCTTTTGTTACTATTTACTTAACACCGACACGGTGCGTTTTACTTTTGAAGATTCTTCTGGAAGACTGAAAGCGAAACGCCGCCGTTGCGAGCCACTCACTCTACAACGTTCTAAAACGGTAAAACACAAACCCTGCACCCGCGCGCCGCCACAACTAACACCACTAACACCACCATGTTGGCGGCTCTACGATCTCGGTCACTCTCTCTCTCGTTTTCTTCTTCCTCGTCACTCCTTCAACAATGGAAGCTAGGGTTTCCGGCCGCGTACTCTACGTTCGCCGGCAAAGGCCTCCTCGACCTCCAAGAGGTCGAGAAGGTTCTCAGCGACGTTAAGGCAGACGACGTGAAGGTCATACCGGCGGGTAAGCACTGCGAGTGGGCGGATTTCATGGTCCTCGCTACCGGAAGATCCACGTGGCACGTCAAGAACATCGCTCAAGCCCTAATTTACAAGGCAGGTCCGAATTTCTTTCTAATTTCAATTCCTAATTTGTGTTTGGTTGCCGAGAATCGAAGGGAAACGGAAGAGAGTGAAACGCTGAGTCTTATTGCCTACTGACTAGAAAAAAGGAGTGACATATTATCATCTGTTTGGTTGCCTAGAAAATTTGAGTTTGAGTTTTCCTAGTTGACAGGGAAAAGGGTAATATGCAATTCTTTTGTTATTTAGATTGCTGCTTGATGTTAACTGGGCCTTATTGTCTTTTGTGTGTGTTTGAGCAGTCTAAGCAAAAGCAGCAAGGAGCTGAGCGGCTAGTGCTTCCCAGTGTGGAAGGGCAAGAGGGAGGGAAGTGGATTGTCATCGACTCTGGTATGTTCTGCTCTTTGTAGGATCTTCGTTTTTGGTTGTCGGAAAGTAGTTTTGATTATGTATTTGCTCTTGTTATGGTATGATTGGTTGTTTGCATAAACCCGCCACAATATTCCTGGAAAACTGAAAGCAATTTCCAGTAGCCATACGAGGGCTCATAGTTTCCGTAGTGTGTATTTTGACTAAATTATTGAAGGGTAATGCTAGAGAGACCAACTATCTCGACCAAATTCTGGAAAACATATGACGTGGTTGTTGATGATTGGATTATTACTTAACTGCTGATTAACGTGCTTATTTCTCATTGGTGACACATCCCATGAAATTTTACAAATGGTAGTAGAACGTATGAATCTTGTACTTCTGCATAACGTTTGCCATTACATGCCTCATTGATATTGTTAGTTCCTTTCTCTTTGGGTTTTAATACTTGGTTTCTTTATTTATTTAGGCAAAGTGATAGTTCATGCTCTTGATGAGAACGCTAGAGCTTACTACAATTTGGAGGCTCTTTGGACCTTGAAGAAGTCGGAAAAAGAAACATTGGAGGTGAATTGCAGTACATACTTTGAATCACATTACTTCGTTATGCTACCCAACCAATGGGCGCTACTAGAATATTATCAATGTTTTTGAGAGATCAGATCACCTAAGCACTTTTTCACTAGGTTTAAGCCGTCGTTAATCTAACCAAATATCTCAATCAGCTTTACAGGTACACAAGCCATACAGTAACTTAAATTTATCTTAGAGCAAGTTTGACTTATGGAAAAGTGATTTTGGTTGGTTGAAACTTGCATGATGGTTCTTATACTAATTTTTGTGGTAATTTAGGTTATCAATTTTTCAGAAGGTCTTGTATCAAAAATGAAAAGAAAGAAAAAGAAATTCTTGTGTCATTCTAGTTATCAGTGTCCTGAAATCAGTTGACATAAATAGATTATTTCTACATATTTACAAGTCAATTAGTTTCTTAGGGTCTTCTGATCTTGCAAAACTAGAAGTAAAGGTCCGATATGCCTGGCTGAAGCTAGTGCTCGTCGTGGACTTTAGAGGAATACTGTTGTCCAGCCATGTTAAAATTCTGCTAGTTTATTGATATTTTGTTTATTGTTCAGTTAACATTACTGAATTGGTAACCTATGTCCTTACTCTCACGTAGATGCAAAGTTATTGCGTGCATAATTCCTCTTAATTTCTTGTTTTTTGATTTGTTTAGGATTTGGATAAGGCTTTTGTGAAGATTCGTCCGAAGAACAACTCCAAGAGGAAACCAACAACGAAACGGGCATAATCATCGATTTTCAGATGTATAAGAACCCTTGCCAATTTATCTTTAACATCATCAAGCTCCATGCTTCTTCTAAATGTACATTCTGGTTGCTTATCTAGTTGAAATTTTCGTGGTGTAAGACTTAGACATTTACACTGAAGACACATCTCTGACTTTTAATAGGGCATCGGGTGGGTTGGGATTGAGCTTCAACCCGTGGCAAAAACCTGCTTTAGATCTTGTATCGAGTTTTAATACAAGCGATATTAATGCTGAGAATGTCCTTGGATTGCTCTTGGATTGCCAAATTTCATAAATTTCTCTTTTTTTTCATTGATAACAACCCCAAACGAAAGTTTAATGTTCGAATATAACAACGACAGAAGTTCCAAAATTTGGTTGGATGGTGGCCAGTTCAGAAAAAAACAACTTACATGACACAGTTATACTATCACATAACATTTTGCGTCCATGAAATTAAGTCCCCCTGATTTAGGGCCGTTCATGGATTAAATCCGGTCTACGTCCTTCAAAGCAAAGATCATGACCCAGACGTCTGTCGTTACACAACGAAAAGCCCAAACAACATTTGGGCCCAACAAACAGTTGCTACAGCCCAAGTGTTTTCATTATTGCTTTAGCAAGACATTATTTGTATTTCAAGTTAGGACGAATGTTTGATTTCGGATATTTCATTTTCTTTGTTTAAGTTCTGAATGTTTAAACCCTAAAACGTTTACGACATGCATGATCATTAAACTTATAATTTTTCAACATTGCATGCCAACCATGACCATAGAGACAGAACCAGCCATCTCATTCATGCTAACCATCTCATCACTTACAATATTGACTGGCTTGAGGAAGTCTGACTTCATCAACCTAAATCATAGAAGAATTACAAATTTAAAAGGGGTTTGCATGTGGAATACAACATATACCTCATAAAATTTGGACCAAGAAAAAAAAAATGGATAAGCATATAGTGTTCAAATTTGAACAAGTTAAAAAAAAAAAAAAAGTCTCGTCCCGTTGCACGCATAAATATTGTACTAAACAATAGACGGAACATGGGTATTTTAGTCATTTTAATCTTTTGGTTACGTTCCTTCCATGCGCTATCGTTGAACGAAACAACTGTCACGTTCTATCCTGCACGTACCAAACATAACACAGAACATCTGTTCCGTTCTGTTTCGTTCCGTCCCGTTTGCGTACCAAACGGTACCTCAAAGCAAAGATCATGACCCAGACGTCTGTCGTTATACTACCAAAAGCCCAAACGACATTTGGGCCCAACAAACAGTTGCTACAGCCCAGGTGATTTACCGCATGGAAAATACCAATTTCTTCGCTTAATTATCCGCGTTCCATTTTCCGCTATTTTCCGCGTTCAACCTCAATATTACCATCCTGCCCCTCCCCCTCATCATTGTCATCTATGGCTTCATGGTAATTAAATGCAAAAGCAGCCCCACTCGTCAATCCCAGCAGCCACTTCGTAAGAAACAGCTCAAGCTTTGTTTCCCTCGCCACTGTCGGAGTTCCCAAAGCACTTCAACGCAGAGCACCTCACCAAAACGCCTTCGTTTTATAAAAGCTGATCGCCAATTCCTCGCATTTCGAGCTTCTCATTTCTCCCTTTGCATTTTTCAATTCTCCAGAGCTCCCATGGCTTCGGTATCTGCATCAAACATCGTCGCTTTAAAATCCGCCGTTAAGTTCGGAGCTACCACAGACGGCAGGGCCTGCCAGTTCAAGCAATGGGCTCCGATTGGTGGCGCAACCGTATGGGGTCGGAGCATTGGGCTTCGGTATAGATCCAAGCGCTCCTCCATTTCCCCAGGTAATTCGAATTCCAATTAGTCATCGAAACGATTTGTTTAGTTTTGATTTAGGATGATTAGGGATTTAGAGAATGTAGAAATCAGAAAGTAGTTGGTAATGTTATGTAAGAATTTTGGAAATGGAAATGAAAACTATAATTTGATGGTGATGGTGATGGTGATGGCACGTGACAGGTTACGTGAGGGCACAGGTGGCGACGCTGGTGCAAGCGACCACCGGGGAGGCCAAAAGTGTGGAGGGTCCGGTGGTGGTGGTGACCGGAGCTTCTAGAGGTATCGGCAGAGCTATTGCTCTGTCTTTGGGCAAAGCTGGTTGCAGGGTTAGTTTTTTGTGTAATGTTCTTTGTTTCTGTATTCTGGGTTTTGGTTGTTGATGGCGAATTGATGATTGTGTGCGGACAGGTCCTTGTTAACTACGCTAGGTCGTCGAAGGAGGCCGAAGAGGTTTCCAAAGAGGTACGGTCAAATCATCCATGCAAATCGTACGAATAAGTCTTGCTGACTTGAAATTGGACTAAATTTGTGTGCTATGATTGTTGGGTTTATTTACTAGTGATAGAGCGATATTGAATGAGGGCTGTGTTCTTTCAGATTGAGGCATTCGGTGGACAAGCTATTACTTTTGGAGGGGATGTTTCGAAAGAAGAAGATGTTGAGGCGATGCTCAAAACTGTACGCAAATGTTCCTTCTTATGATTAATTGGGTTGTTTTGGCATGATTATGCTAGTTTGGTGATGTGGTTAATGATTTTGCATCTGCAGGCAGTTGATGCTTGGGGAACTGTTGATGTACTGATAAACAATGCAGGTTATTGCAAATTTCACCTGCTTTTTGTGTAATGTCCAATTTCAAACACGATCGTCTTTCGTCCAACTTTTATACCATGGTTTCAGGAATTACCAGGGATGGTCTGTTGATGAGAATGAAATTAAAACAATGGCAGGAGGTCATTGATCTAAATCTTACCGGTGTATATCTATGTACCCAGGTATGTGTTTCGAATTTTCGTTTTTCATGGAAATGCTACTTGACTTCAATGTCGAACTGAGGAACTTCACTTTTTCAGGCAGCAGCCAAAATCATGATGAAGAAGAAGAAGGTGAATACCTTTCCTTTCAAAAGGAGTATCCCTGAACCTTTTCGTCTAATGTCTTATCCCAGTCGAATAATGCTTCTTGCAGGGAAGGATTATCAATATAGCATCTGTTGTTGGTCTAGTTGGAAATGTTGGACAAGCCAACTACAGTGCTGCAAAAGCAGGAGTAATTGGCCTGACCAAGACTGTTGCTAAGGAGTATTCAAGCAGACACATTAATGTGAGTATTCCAAGATTCTTCTATTTGTTCCACTAATCAGACACATCCGGAGATGGAATTAAATCCAGATGATGGATTGAGTCGTAAACAATGGATTTCCTTCAGGTTAATGCTGTTGCCCCGGGCTTTATCGCTTCAGACATGACTGCCAAGCTAGGGGATGACATTGAGAAGAAAATTTTACAGACTATCCCATTAGGTGAGGCTGGGGAAACTCTAGTTATTCAAGTCAAGTATGTTTACAATAATAGCTGATAATAGTTTGCTAAATTTTTTTCGTACTGGCTGATTACAGGTAGGTATGGCCAACCCGAAGAAGTTGCTGGACTGGTGGAATTCTTGGCCCTTAGTCCTGCAGCCAGTTACATGACCGGACAGGTATAAAATACATATCAGTTTATGGAATAATTGTTGAACTCTTTGGACTTGAATCTTTCTGATAGTTACTTAAATGTGACTTATTATGGCCCGTGAAACGGGATGCAGTATGTTTCACCTATCTTGGACCTATGATAAATTTGACTTGGACTCAAGTTGAAGTTTCATAGACGGTTTAACTATTAGTTTGAATGTGATGGAATCTAAATGTAATTGTTTTTTGGATAAGTTTAGCCTCGACAAAAGTTCTTTAGTTATCAAGTTACTGCATTTCTCTTCAAGATGATTTATTGAAGGGGATAAATGAAGGAGATTTTTGGATCATTGGAATGGAAGTGTATCACATTTTGGACAAGTGAACCCAGATGGATCACAAGGGCAGTAGTGCCTATTGTGGTGACTATGTTGCAATTAAGGAGCTTTTCTGTAGAAGTTCATCGGTAGCCCAAAACTGTTGTGTTAGAAACCTTTCTTGCAATTTATTTATCGATGCTTATTGTAATTAGCGAAGGTCGTGTCTTTACCTTGACCTTCCTGGCCTTTATACAATTATCATTTGACAACAATCTGCTTCTCTAATTTTTCACCAGTGACCATAACACGCCTTTCTTGCAGGTGCTCACCATTGATGGAGGGATGGTCATGTAGGTTTTCCATATTGCCGGCCTAAGAGAAATGTATTAGAACCTTTGAGCTTCAGAGTTCCTACTATGAGATGGTATCAGCAGATTCTACCATGACGGTAAAAGTTTATGTGAAAGCTCATCAAATTACAGGTCTTTCGCTTTAAGTTAGTTCTACAACAAATTTTACTGCAAGTTTTGATAGAATTTCAATTTTAGCTTGTTACCAAAAGGAGCTCTGTACGATGACATGTTTGTGGAATGTGTACCAACTTGTACACTCTGAAAATATCTCTTTAAGTGGGGACACATGATGACGCCTTTTTAGTTTGGAGTCAGCTTTAACGAAGTTGGTAAAAAAGATTATTATTTCACGTTATACCAAGTTTAGAGATTAATATTCACATATTTTTAGTTCAAAGATCAAAACGCCAATTGAGTTAAAGTTTTGTTGATGCATAAAACCGGAGGTCTTGGAATAACGTAAATCCGACCGTAAATCTGCAAGTAATGTAAATGACACAAGATGTATCGTAGTTCACCTCAATGTTTGGGCTACGTCCACACTGATTATGTATTTATTTGAGAAGTGAGGGAGAGAGTGATTTAGAGCCTCTGAGGGAGAGAGTGAGGTCTTTGATAGCCTAGGAATTGGCCTCCCCTAATTGTGAGGGTGAGAGGTTCTTTCCTTACTTATTACATATTTGCTTAATCTTTTATCACATAATTATATTTAAGTCATTCGAATATTTGTACGAGATCTAAATACGAAGTCCTAAATATGGCATAAACAAGTTTAAAAGACTATTGTCCTAATTTTTTCGAATACCTAATTAAGTTTAAATTTGCCCAATTTAGTAAATAACTTTACTCATTTCCGTCTAATTTCCGTGTAGAACCAAACATCAATAACTGTTAACGAGATATTATACAAGCCAGGAGAACCAATCTTGTCAGATTCAGCAAAAGGACGAAAATGAAAATTCAAGGAGTAAAACATAAGGACAAAAGTAATATTTGATCCGCATGAAATGATTTTGCGTTGGACTCGAATTGTTCAACTTTCATGGACCACTTAATTACGAGTTTGAATTGTACAATGGATACGTCAGGAACATTTTCGGATCACCAATACAATACTAGAATATACTAATTGAAGTAAATTATGGACCATCTTAGTTTTGCGAATGATTTATACGAAACGAGTTTATCGTTGCTATATCATCCGGGTCAATAATATCTTGTTATACGTAAGGATTTTCTTCATATAGCATGATATAATTAGACCGAGGTACACATGGCGGTGAATTTATTTCAAACAAATTTCTCTTCTTTACAGCTAAGCAGTGTTTAAAATATCCACGAAATTGTCGATATTTCTAGCGAAAACCCAAAAATCAAGGATCGATATGGAAATGAGGTGAAATGCAAACTTTACCTTCTATCGACGAGATATTGAAAATTAATAAATATCAACGATATTTACCAATTTACCATAGAAATTTTGTTAGAACATATTGCAAATTTTGAAATTTTTAATTTGTTTTGAAAGAAAATTTTCTCTAACTTCGACTAAATTTGAATGAGTTAATATACCCATCGAAAACAACTGATATCGAATATCCATTGATATTTACATAAATTTGTACATCCATATTTCCGATATTTTAAACACTGCTCTTAAGCGAACAAATTTTTTTTTTTTTTTGAACAAACGATATTATTTACACTACGGGCGATGGGTGGACTTAGCCTCACATGGCGTAGCAATAATGTAATTTAAATTCGTCTTTAACGAGAATTAAAACTAAAACCTTTCACTTACAAGTAAAAAACAATATTACTAGACTGTAATAAGTGGTTCTTAAGCCAGCTATTGAATCAAGGGTTTATGTAGTACTAACTCTATATACAAAGGAATAATTGTTTAATTTTTTGCTTGGAAGCATAAAAGATAAGAATATTACGTGTTAGGATTCCAAAAACTGAGATCCGAATATGCGACCGCCGTCGAAAGGGATGGTAGCAATTAGCAAAGCTTATGAAACACAAATGCCTATTAAACTTTGATTTGTTAACTTTCATGTTTCAACACCCATATTATTATTATTATTACTATTATTATTATTATTATTATTACTTGAGAGACTCAACAACCGTATGACTTGTGATTTGTGGCTACCAATAATTACCCAAAAAGAAGAAAGTGAACTACCGTGTTAAACACACAACAAACATGATTAAGTTCATGATTAGCTCAAATGACAAGGAATGAATAGATGAGTTATAATTAAGTTAGAGTTTCGATTTTATTGAATTTGTTAAAAGATATTTAAATTTGAGTTAGGTTAAGAGTTCAACCTCCTTCTACGTACATGAAAGAGATTTTGACAAACAACGAACGTTTGAATTGATATATTACATTTAATCACGTTCAGTTGAGACTAAATGTCGCTAAAACATATTAAATTATGATTAGGATCGCTAAGGGTCCACCCACGAGGATTTCCTTCTACTTTTCATCCACCTCTCACTTAAAGCTATCTCACTCTTCTTCAAAAGCAGGTCACCTTAAATCCACTCACTCTCTCTCTCTCTCTATGTGTATATGATTAACCGAAGCCAAGACTCTTCCTCAACAGTTTTGGAGCCCAATAGTTTCAAGTTTCGACCTTTTATTTCTGCTTCTCTCTCTTACCTTGTTCCTGCAACTGGGTTTTGATTTCCATGTCGACCTCAGCACTCCCCACCCCAACACTCCCAACATTCTTCTCCATCTTTCTTCTCATCTACCTCTCTGCTTATTTCCTGCTTTTCCGAAACTGGGGCCCAAAACACCGACCAGAAGCTTCAAGCTGCCTAATCTCTTTATCCCACGGCTCCGCAGCTGCCGCCATGGCCGCCCACGCAATCCTCCGCAGCTACAAAGCCACCACCTTCGCCTCCCCCAACACCGACACCCAAAACACCGTGCTCGAGTTCAGCATCGCCTACTTCTCCCTCGACCTCCTCCACTACCTCCTCTTCTTCCCCAACGACGTCATCTTCATCCTCCACCACCTCGCCACCCTCTACGTCTTCACCACCTGCCGTTACGCCGTCCGCCACGGGGCCCACGCCATCCTCGTTCTCCTCCTCCTTGCTGAGATCACGAGCGGCTGCCAAAACGCCTGGACCCTTGCCGGGTTTCGGAGGGCCGGTTCGCCTGCCGCCGCCAAATTGTACGACTTTTTGTCCCCTAAATTCTATGCTTTTTACAGTGTGTTTAGAGGGATCCTGGGGCCGGTGTTCATGTTCAAGATGGGGGCGTTCTATGTGAGTGGGGCGGCTGACCCCGTCATCCCCAGATGGGCATGGGCTTCTTGGATGGTGGTGATTTCAATTGCCATTTGTCTTAGTATTTTGTGGGTTCTGAATCTTTGGATCGATTGGTACAAAAACAAAGTGCAGAAGAAAAAGAGGTAGAAAAATATCTATTTTTTTTTTTTTTTTATGAATTGGCTGTAATTTGCTAATTGCATGTATAATACAAATATATAAGTTTAATATTTCCAATACAAATATTTAGGTTTCACATAAGTAATACGCCAAAGAACCTTCCAAGCCCTTAGAACCGGTATCTCAAACCAGTCGTACTAGAATACTTTGAAATTTCCTATAAGACAACGGATGATTAGCTTAAAACAGCATCAACGGCAGTATCCCTGTTACATTAGACAGGCTGGTCTGCATTATTGTTTGTCGTTTGTGGAGAAGGATCCAAACTTCCTATCAGGGTTTCACATCGATTCTTAAAGTCTATGCCACATGAGTTCGATTCTTTTTTTTTTGGGGGGGGGGGGGGTCCTATCACAATGAGTCCGACTAATATTTGCATGAATTGCACCATAAATTTATCACCATCAGTCACTACAAAGCATATAAATGATGTTGCAATCGACCCTAGCCTGTGGAGTTTCTTTGAAACTTACTGTGAATTGAATACATTGCAACTAATTATAACTTAACTCCGATGTTTATATGCTTATAATCGAAGCATTCGTTGTGTCGGGCTTACCATAGTAGTCAAGCTCGACGAAAGTACCTCCTCCTTCTCCCTTGGCCAGTCTTCCCGGATTGACACAAATGCATTTTAACTGCTCTTTATCTTCACCTCTTTCACCAAGGGACAGTACCTGTACTCAAAGAGTAAAATCCCCGTTAACTTCTCTAGGTAAACATCTCAAAGTCGCAGAATGTAACACCCAATCTCTATTGGAGCGACGTGCACATTTCTGTGCGATTTATTGGAATTGCTTTGACATTGAAATTGGAATAACCAATTACCTTCACAAAATACTTCACGTCAGAGGGTAAGATGAGAATATTTGGGATCAATGAGATGTTTAGAGCTTGAGGAGCAAGTGAAAAATCCAGTGGAATGTCTTCTGCTGGTGGATACAGAGGATAAAAGCTGTCCGAAAAATTGCAAAATATTAGATTGCAGAGCTCTTTCTAACCATATAGACCTTAAGAACTTCTAAGAACTTAGAGCGTGCCTGCGTTGGCTAATTATATGGTTTGCAAGTCTACTCAAGCGGTCACTGGGTTTTCCATCCTTTGGAACACGCGAGATCTCCTCTGCACTAAGGTGTTTGAGAACATCCACAGAGCAGCAACCTATCTTGACCTGAAACCAGAATGTGGTGGATGAAAATTTGTCTACATCTTATCATTTGGATTCTTATCATGCCAACTAGAGCAAGGAATGAAAGATTTGTGACGTAGATACATAATATAAAAATGGTCATGGATAAAGCTCAATCAAGTTACTGTTCATTTGTTTTGCCAATCCATCTTTGTTGGCCAAGTGTGTCTACGAAATTGGAATCCAAGCTTTTAGATAATACAATTCTGGACTACCAAACTGATAATTCTAGTATCAACACTCATTTGAGCAAAGTTACAGAGGTGGTCAGAATTTCGGGCAAGCACTTGGTTACCTGATCTGCCTCGAAAAACCCTGGGTTTGTGAGACTGCTTATCTGATTAGGAGTGGTAAAATCACTTTAGTAAGCATAAACTACAGAAATATTTTGGAATTTTGAATGACGAAAGCTCGAAATCTATAAACATGCACCTGATGCTTGAGATCAGGTGGGTGAATATCAAAGGCAGGCTGCGTAACAAAAACGGTAATGGGATCTTGACATTACATTCTCTTATCATCTCATTGAATCAAAAGCAAATTGAGCAGTATATAGTACATTTACTTGATTCAAAAGTAACATTACCTGAGGGAATATAAAATCATGGTTAGCATCCCGTATGGATGGTACAAGAACAACGCGCGCATGCGAACCCATGTATTCGACATGATCTTGCAACTGAAAGAATGAGAAAAGGAAAAAAGGCATGAAAACCAACAGATGTGGATAGTTCTTCGGGATAACTACTACACAACGTTCTGAGCGGATACCCTTCTAAGAATCTCAGTTTGGAATATTTCATCAAAGCTCCTGTCAACGGTTCCTTTCTTAATTTCTGGATGTTCAGAATCAATAAATGGTCCTAGCTGCGGGGAAAAAAAAAATTCTGTTTGTAAACAACATGAATGGTTCAAGCAGTAAAATCTTGTTTAAGAAAAATTCAGTTCAAGAGAAGTTCACCAATATAAGCAATTGAGGCAGCTTTTTGCTTGCATATGCTAGAAGCTCTCAGAGGCTCAAAAAATAAGTTGTCTGTTGTGGTAAAAGGGCCTGATGCGATGATCTGTTTAAATACAGAAATTAAATGTTACCAACACTGATGAAGAATTTTGCACCGAATTATGGAAAGTTCAATGTTTTCACAGAAATGATTAATAAGCCAATAATTTCCAGAGTTGCGTCTCATCGAGTAACATAGACTAAAACTTGCATACCACTGATAGCTCTGGTTGTTTACTGGAAAGTTCAGTTGGCAAAATCTCCTGATCCAAAGCCTGCTTTTTAGCAGGAGGCGAGTTTGCATCAGCAGCAACAGGTAGAGGGACTGAATCTACCAGTTTTGAAGCAATGAAGCAGTGTCCACTAGGATTGGTCCCTTCGACACCGATTATCTGCAGGAATGCAATCCTTCCATGTTAGATTTAGACTACACTACAGTATATCAAAATTTAAAAATCTGACCATGGTTCTATGTCTTTCATGTTCCAATTTCCATACCTGGCCTGGAAAGATTGAAAATTGGCTCAAATTTTGTAATTCCATACGAACACGTTGACCTCCAGAATGCTCTGCGCTGCCAAAGATTGAAAAGGAAAGATAAAAAGTTTATCTAAAGAAAAAAAATACGGATTACCAGAAGTCTCTCAGCTGTATACAGAAGTAAAACATACATAGTTGTGCTTCACATTTAACAAGTCCCCTCCAAGAGAGTGTTACCTGAGGGAAGGCTAAGATCCTCAGATACAATTATTTAATAGCTAAACTTATTTAAGGAATGCTATCCTTGTAGGGATGTTAGTATACTGTTTCACATGAAAAGTATAAAGGAGAGTGCAAGACTTCCTACCTGCTCTGCAACAAGGTGGATTTGTCATTCAAATGGCCCTCTCCGTCACAACAGACCATGCCAGCAGTAAATATAGTTTTCTGAAACAAAACAAGCTTACATCATAAACAGCCTCAAGATGACTTGGAGAAGATTGAGTTGCCAAAACACCTTCCCACCATCAGGGGAGGGGGAGGTACTATACCTGAGACGAAACTGTAGGGTCCTGCGGTTCCTCGTACTGCCGAGATGAAACTAATGCAGTTGCGTACTTTCTAATTCGGTTTTCAAGTGCGTTAAACTAAAACAGAAAAGGCTTATGTTAGTGGACAATGTATGTGTGTGTGGAGATTAAGATCACCATACTATAATAAGTTTCACTTACCCTATCTTCAATCCTATCATACATAAACCTACAACCTATTTCAGGTCCTGAACCATGGACTACAAAAGAACAGCGCTTTCCAGGCTTAACCTTCCTGATAATTTCATCATCCTCATCATTCTCATTATCATGTTCCTTCTCCCCGTTCTCTATAGTTGGCTTATTATCAATGCTGAATTTCACAACAAACTTGTCTGTTCGTTGCCCAAAAGGAGTTACAAGTCTTGATGGTTTTCCAGAAGAAGGAACGTTCCCAATTGTTTGTGGCGTTGAGTCAGACGGCTCTGAGTAACGGTTCTGGGATTCGGATGGTGGAGTGCCAGGAACCTCTTCCTTTATATCTACATCCTCATCATTCAGAATCCTGCACGCAATTTGTCCAATACTGAACCTCAGAAACTAGAATCACACTAATCCCATATCCACAAAAATTCATGCCACCAAAAACAAATTACACATATAAAAAGGGAAAGTGAAAAAAGTGTGTGTATATATATATATATATATATTGTGCTCACATGTCCACATCTCTGCTTGAGTAGATATGCAGATTGGGCTCCTGTTCTTCAATGGCTACTTTCTTCTGCTCCTGCAAATACCCTAAAAACCCATCCATTTCCACATCACGTACCACCGTTCCATTCATTTGCCTGCCCAAAATAACATTTTATCCGATTATATTTGGCAACACATACAACTTATTCACCAAAAAAAATTTACTAACACAAATCTATGTACAAAATTAATCCCTTTATCCGGCGATCATAACAAAAATATATTATACAAAAAATAAGCTATTTAAAGCTAAAAGCTATCCTCAGATACAAAACTGAATCATTCCAAACGTTTTAGTAAAAATCGTAAATTGGAGAAAATTGGGAGAGAGATGAACCTATTTAGGTAGTAAATTTCCCAGCTCGTAACGAGATCAGAAGGCGAAAGATTGAATGTAGCACCTAATCAACAATTGAGGAATCAATATACACTCTTCTGTAAAATTAGGTATTGAATTCAATTGGGAACAAATAAGCGAAAGATCTTACATTGTTTGAGGATTTCCTTCTCGTCGTCGAAAGTGAAGCCGCTCCGGTGGAACTCATCTTTGATATGGTCTTCCATGTGGCGCGTTCTGGTTCTCTCTCTCTCTCTCTCTCTAGGGTTTCAGAAGCTGCCACTCTGAGAGTTACAGAGAAATGGCGGGAAGATTGAGATTTTTGGTGGGTAGACTGTTGAGAAATTTACTATAATACCCCTTTTATTGTGGATTCTAACGCGTCAAGACTGCAAACGACCTGTCGTTTATGTTTTAGACGAATTTCTTCTTCCTTGCAATTCGGGGCAAAAAGCCCAAAAATATAACTAACACATTGGCAATAGTAAGCCCAACTATATTGACCTACTAGTTGAATAGACATTTATCTCTTCCTAGAGTAACGCTACACTTACCATTTATTTGTATCAGCATTTGAATCATCTCTCCAACAAAGGTAGGGCCCACCAACACATATGGGTCTCATCATATCTATTGGAAAGATAATACAAATAGATGGCAAAAATACATTCATCTTCTATAATACATGCATTAATTATGGAGATGATTCAACTTTAACTGTATATAAGAGAGGAATAAATCGTTTTCTTTTTCTTTATAGTTGTTTCCTCAATCATCTCTATTTGCTGAAGAATTTTTTAATTTTTTCAATTCAAATAAACAAAATTTATTTAAAAAGATAATCATGAATTTGAAATAAAAACCGCACAAACAACTAAAAACCTTACATCACTAAATATAACATGATTATACAAATAGACGGTAAGTGCAACATTACTCATTATAAAAATATAATTTCCCACCGTAATTAGCGTAGGATTCCTACCAAAATAGGGATTTATGTAATAGCTCACCCAAATTAATACAAGAGTCATATTTCTACACATAACTTCTCCTGCTGATTATTCTGCAATGCTTGCAGATCAAGTAATCTAATCCCTTTTCTTTTATATCAGCATTGTGTTTACATGAATGATTAGTGAGCAAGAACTCTAATCAAAGAGGAGGTCGCTCTTGTCTCAAATCCCATCGTGGCCGTCGGAGGGTACCAGAAGTCAATTAATCTAGAAACGCCGAAGGGTTTGCCTTGATGGTCAAGCAGCAGCGATCATATCTATCTAAGTTTGAGCTTTGAATATGGGGAGAGATGAATGTTTGTTGCATGTAAAACTGGCAAGTTAAGAGAAGAATGTGTAGGTTTTCGATTGCAAGATGATACTCCGTAGGGCACCGATGGGTGCTAGAATCATCAAGGTAGCTCCCAGTATAATGCAGGTCTGAAATGAATGAAGTCAGCGTTATGAATGAGCCTGAAGAACAAGTTATCGAAGCAAAAAAGCGCAACGTACCCAGTTTATGCACCAAGATAGACTGAAACGTCTCGGTTTGTAGATGGCGAGCCACATGATGCAGGGAAGCTGCAAATTAAGAACAGAATCGGAAAGTTAAGCTCTATTTGACATGTTTTCAAAGGGTTACTGCAAATTCGCAAACTTGAGAAAGAATAAAGGGTATCCGTGTGTGTGTGTTTATGTAGGGCAAAGGAGAGCAACGAATCCTTTAATTTTCTTACGAAGTATGTGGTTGGGGCGAAAGCAAATCCTCCAAAGAATCCGAAGGCCACCAAAGAAAGGGATGGCCATACCAATGACCATGGTAATTGCTGCCAAATTAAGAACATATTATATGGCATGTACTGATATATTAGCATGCAAATCAGGAAAACACTCTGCAGTAGTGATGAGAATTGTAAGCTAACTCAATTCACGTACCAACATATATCGTGCGGGTAATAAAGCGAAGGGTGAAAGAAGGCGGGAAGTTCATTTTCTTGACCAGAAAAGTTTCAACCATGTCAAAAACTCCCATCGCGAAAACTTGGTAGCTTCCAATGACATGGATCACAACAAATATGTTAGCTGCTGCAATTAGCCAGACAGGTTTTTCGAGTGAGATGAGGATGTTGTCTTCAACAGAGTTTCCGTAAATATAGTAGCCAACAAAACAAACAGGGAAGTAGCACAAAGCCACCACAATGTATGCCACAACAACTCCTTTCCACATTGGTCCCTTGGAAGGCTTCTCGGGTGTGGAAGGAATCGTTGCTTGGATCTCCAAAACGACATTGTGGCCAGCGTAGGCAAATGCTATGTCTCCCAACCCACTAAAGAAGTTGAAGACAGCTCCGACATTGGATTTAGCTTTGTAGCTGTAGTCCACGTTCGGTACCTTCCCCTTGTGAATAGCAGCTCCCCACGCAATCGTTGAGTAACTGCATATGATCACAAATTAACAAGATCCAACACAAGAGTGGTAAGAAATCAGATCACAAAAAAAAGTTTCCCTAAACATTAATCACGGCCAAATGATCGTCTGCATTAGCGTTTGAATTAACCTACATACATACGAACAGGCAAAACAGTGTCCGCATCATTTTGGATCTAAAATTTTGGGAATTTGGTTTGTAATTGCATTACTTGGGAATCAAGAAATTTCTAGAATTTACGATACTAACAGAACTATTTAATTAATTACCTCAAGGACATGACTGCGGCAGCAAGCGAGATACCAGAGACGGAGTTTAAGTTGGGGAGATGGGAGAGAACAAAGTGGGCAGAAGCAAAAATCAAAATCCATAAGGTGAGTTTGATGTCTTTGCAGCTAGGGCAAATCACATCATGGACCTTCTTCAATGACTTTCCTCCTGTGACCATATAGACAATATTGACACCAACTTCCACAATTAGCTGTTGGGGCACAACGACCCAGAGGCCCAGCTTCTCTCCAAAGGCATGCTGTCCCAGCTCGTGGTACCGATCGAACCGCTTCCCCGGCACCATTTCATGCATCTCAACCATTTGCCATAGTGTATATAGGGTGATGATCCATGACAGAAGCACGACAGCAATGCCAGGACCCCTGTTTAATTTTGTTAGGAATCAACATTCGGTTTCAAATTGGCAGATAGAGATCATACACAAAAAATTGTAAGTCTGTAACATTCAATTTGGAATGCAGATGGCTAAACGAGGAGTGCCAAAATCGCTACCCTTTTATAACGGGTGTTAATTCCAAGATTTCTACTCAAATTATAGGAATGAAAGTCATGAAACAAAACAAAGGGACCAAGGGTGGTGTAGTAATGATCACACTCTTGTTTTCTCCTTTCGCACTCATTTCCTTGTTTCCACCCCTTGATTTTCCTCTAATTTATTCAGTCTGAAGGTTAGAGGAAAAAAAAAGGACGAGTGCAAAGGGAGTTAAAGAGGATTGCATAAAGAACTACCCGTGAAACGAACATATAAACATATACATACCATCCAAGCTCGGCCATGGCATAGGGAAGGCTAAGGACACCAGCCCCAACCATGGCAGTGACATTGTGGAAAGCTGAGTACCACCATTTGGCATTCCTAGCAGAAGTGACCGGAAGCCAATCGTCAATCTGCTTCTGCCTCGCCTCTTCAGCTTCCTTCGACGATTGTTTCATTCTCTCTCTCTCTCTCTCTCTCTCTCTCTCTCTCTGGAACGGATTGAACTCAGCAATGGCAGAAAAAAGGGACGACGATGATAGTATAACTTACACAAAGCCAAGACCTTTGTTTATATACTGGTCAGGAGAAATGCAAGATTGCCAAAGATAGCAAAAGCGTTCTCCAAGTTAGGAAAAGGAAAGCCGCCCGCTTAGGGGGGGAGTCTCTGCGCTGTACGAGTGTTTGGAGAATTACCACCAAGCCCCTATTTTCTCACTCTTGAAAACTTGGTTTATCTGTAACCTCCAGAGGGTCCAACTGTAAAATTACCTGTAAAAACCAACCCAAGTCCCTCCCCAGTCTAACGGTCTCCAAGTTCCTGTGGGGATTTGACCTCTGACACCCTTCAAACATGGTTCAACGGGGACTCACGTCCTTCTCTTTAAGACAGGCTCCCACATTTCTCTCTTTGGGGCTTCCCCCATCCACAAGCTTATCAGTTTCATTGTTTGGTTATCTTCTCTCTTTTTATTTATTTATTTATTGTTATCATGATTTTTTTTTTCGGGTAGGTTGAATCAATGATCTATCAGAATCCGAAGCAATAACCTATCGTAATCTTAACCCCTTTTTCGTTTATATTTGGGAGTTAGGACATAACTTCTGTCCACGTGTCGTGTCGAGAGCGGACGTTAAGGTCCACATTGACATTGCATCCTCTCCTAGTAATTTAGAAATTTGGGTAACTGAAAAATGGAAAAATGAGAAGGAAATTGAATACTGCACGAAGTTTCTTCTGGCAGAATATGTTATAAGAGGATAAAAAAAGTAGGCCATCTCAAATGGCACATGACTTGCTTGTTGCCATTTCTTGTCAAAACTTTCCCTACCAAGCTTTTTACGTGCATGATTTTCCAGATTGTTAGGACCGGAATACCAAGCATTTCTGCGAAAAGGGCAGGTCTGCATTGTGGCCGGTGTATCGAGTACAGATCATGTCCCGGCAAACTAAGAAATAAACTTTGTGGACGGAAACAATTCAGCGATAAATGACCACGTAAAGATGACAAACATTTATCATGACATGCTTTTGTGTTTACGATAATCTGAGTTTTAAGTTACAGAGAGCAGATCAGTTGTTAGGTTATCTGATATCAAAGCTTTACAGAGGTATGAATGACAAAGAAACGGATTCATAGCACCGGCAAATAAATTCACGTCTCTAAACAGAAGTTGGCATGAAAAGAAAAACGAGAACAGAAAACACGCAATGTGTGATTATGTAAGCATTTTATATCCCTCTATATAAATTGGTCATCTGGAAGTCACTTGTGAAAGGTAACCAGAAAAGAGGGGGATTCATTTGATTACTATGCTGCTTAAATTCACACTCAACTGACTCAACCAATTTACAATCAGTGTGGACGAGCCATAATTCACGTACGAGGATATGCGAAACAGTGTAAACCTATCATAACATTTCTTGAACATTATAAAGAAACTTCCACACCTGGTACAAAACTATGCATCTACACACAGAAATTATAAAACATGAGACTGGAACTAGGGGAAAAGGGAAAGAAAGAAAGAAAAAGTGAACCGATAAAGAGAAGACATTTTTGAGAACTCACCACAATTCGACTCTCTATGGGTCTAACCAAGAACACCAACTCCTTTGTACATCCTGATCAAGCAACTAGAGGACCGGAGTGTTTGTAATTCTGATTCGACCAGGTGGAACAAACTGATTCGTCCATGCCCAGGCCTTGGGCGCCAACACACAAATATTGGTTTATTAACTTCGTATTGAAGGAATCATGTTTGAAGCTCCCTTGCGGATGTGGTGGTTTGCCATTTGAGCAAGAGGGTCCCGAAATGTCAACACCCTTCTCTTTGTCCATGAAAGTGGGGGAAGACATAGACGATCTTGACAGAGGACTTGTGTGCGATTGAGATGCAAAAGCTAAATGAGGCCTTGCCTGAATCACACCATGTGATAAACCAGCAGTAAATTTCATTTTAGTGTATGGGCTCGGAAAGGAAACTGTCCTTTTGTTGTTTGGGAGGGAGGAAGATTTGGAATACATCTGCCGAAGTGGAATTGGATTGTCGTCCAAATCTACACAGGTGCTAAATGACTCAGAATCATTATCTCTTACGTCTATGCTAGATTCCTTTTTTTCTTTCCTCCTCCGCCATTGAAGAAGAAACTTAAGGCGCCTTGCAGCATAAGTTACAGAACTTGACTTCTTATTGTTTACTGAGTTGGGTGAGCCAAACTGTCTTAGCTCACCTGAGAACGTGTTGAATTGCACGCTTGACTGATCGCAACTGGCATCAGAAGCATTGTCAATGCCTGTGTATAAGAATATCTCTGCATCGGGAATTCTGAAAGAGGTTCCCGGACTGCTCCCAATACCCTGCATTCTCAAATGGGAAACAAGGGCACTCCTTGCTTTACGGTCCTGACAATTAGAGATCCCTCCGGCTGAAATCAATTGCTTGATCAGAAGTTCGGAAGATGCTGACTTTGGCCTTTGCTTAAGAATATCTAGAGGGGTCATGCCGCCAGAATCACGGATGTTTAAATTAATTGATGGAACAGTCATGAGGAGTTCCACCAAATTAGATTGAATGTTCTCGGTTACAGCCATGTGAAGAGCAGTTCGTCCATCATTGTTCTTAACATTAACAACGTCCTGCATGTTCACAGTATCACCACATACTAATTGCTTAATAAGCTCAATCTGTTTGTCCAGTCTCCGGAAACCAGGGCTTCTGAAACCAGCCACTGCCAAATGCAGAAAGGTATCTCCATAGTTGTTTGACAAAGTGGTTAATGAGAGAGATGCACGAATTAGGACCTCCACCACAGCCAAGTGACCCCTATAAGCGGCCACATGTAAAGCTGTGTTCCCTTGATTATCTACAATTGTGATGGTATCAAAGAATGCTATTAGATACTCAACCACCTGCACAACAGAATGATAAAACTTTTAACATTATAAGTAATATTTCAATGTTTAAAGGAGACATGAACCATAAAAGGTTAAAATCTAACGAAGCAAGAAAATGAATTAAAAAGAATAAAAAGAGACTTCCATTCAGTCAAGTTTTGGTGCCTGTGAGGCCGTTAAATTTGGTGAGCAGCCATCAATATGTTGAAGCCAAACTATTTATGAATGGATGTTAAGGCCAAACTAACAATTAACCATTTAACTGTTTATTCTAATTTAATTAAACCAATCCTCACTCCATTTCAGCAATACAACTCAAAACTAATAAGCACTCACATAAACTGAAGAAATAAGTAAATAACTGAAGAAAAATCTCTTCCAACTTCTGTAAACCTCAATATCAGACCTAGCGTGCCTTCAATTACACAACATTCTACTAAACGATGTGAAAGTAACTGAATTCAATCATCTAACAAACATATAGAACGAGACTCACCTCAACCTGCCCTCTGCCAGATGCTGTATGCAAGATGGTAGATCCCTGAGCATCTCTATAAGCCAATACATCCTCACAATCCCCAAGTAAATCCCTCAAAATCTCCAAATTGCCACCTCTAGCTGCGGCATGAACCGCCCGGTTCATCATTTCCCACTTGAAATCCGATGTAATATCACCCAACCTCTCTTCCAATTCTCCATTGCTAAGACTAAACCTTGGCGACACAGAGAAATCAAGCAGCAGCCTGAAAACCTCAGAGTTCTTGCTCCTGGCTGCAGCATAGAATATGTCAGTGACTCCATACTCTCCTTCTCCAAAAACAAGAAGAGGGTCTCTGTCCAGCAACTCCCTGACAAACCCCACATCCCCGGCTGAGGCGGCGGTGTAGAGAAGCCATCCGCCGTAGCCGGCCCTGATGAGAGAGTTGTGTCCGCTCTGCATTTGGCACTCGTGGAGGAGCCTCTTGGCAACTTGTGACCGGCATTTGGCAACATCATCGAACTGAGCCTCGTCGTCCCAGACAGTTTCGAGGCGGCGGATACGGCGTAGTGAGGTCAGCTTGATGAGGAGGTTTGTGTCAAGGTGAAGAAGCTCACAGACCAAATCATATAAGCCATTGGCTGCTGCCCAATCGATTGGTGATGCATACCACCATTGGTCTCCCGTGCTCTCCCACCTCAGAGGGAAGTAAGATGGTGCCATTGTGACCCAAGAAATGGCTATCAAAAACTCAAATACCAACTCTCAGAGGAATTTTGTCGAGCACATGGACTGCAAAATCCAAAACCCAGAATAACAGAGCACACAAAAGCAAATCACAGATGAGACATAAAGCGAAAGTGAAAAGGCCCAACAGGGTACGAAAGGAATTTGCTTTTTTAGTGGGAAAGTTGCAGAAAAGCTAAAGATTTAAGCTTTTCATTAGAATGGAGGTATAAGAATCAATGCAACTGAGTTTATTAAACCAAAAAAAAAAAAAAAAAAACAGATTGGAGAACTGACCCATCAACTGTATGAGAACGACATGAAGTTTTGGATCAAACGCAATAGAGTTTAAGCTGAGAAATTGGTATTGGAGAATTGGGAGGACAATATTAAGCAGGAAAGGCCACTGCCACTGTCTGTTTCCACTTTCCAGATGAAGCTATGGAGGTGAAAAGATAAGCAGAGGAGACTTGACTTTTTAGGAAAAATGAGAGAAGGAGAGGAGCCCAATGAGTGAAGGTGGGGAGGAAAGTGAGAATTTTGGAAGATAATAACAAAACAATAGGAAAATGGCCACTTGATATATATGGTGGAGGGAAAGTTGGAGACAAAAGCATCGAAAGATAGAGATTCTTTTTCGGTCCGTGAGGGCGCAGTGCAGATTGAGATTTGGAGTTACTGAGAGTGAGGGAGAGTTTTATAAAGATTGCATAGGAGACCGGTGACGGACCAAACTAGGCAGATCATTCATGGTTTTGAGGAATCTTTTATGAAGAGACAAAATGAAAATGATTGGCGGTGCTGGTTCCAGAAACTCGTTACGTTTCTGTGTTAAGTTACTCATCCGCTTAAGACACGCACAAGAGATTGATTCGACAATCTCTCATGTGTATCTTAGATAGATGAATGGACTTAAGCATATAAGCATATGTTTTAAAAGTTTCTCGTGTTGGTTAAATTGGGTATCCTCGTCCCTTAATTTAAAGGGCTTTTATTGTTTTGGGTAAATTACATAGTAGTCATTCAGGTTTGAGATCTATTACAACCTCATACAACGTCTTTAAAACATTTCACTTTCATATATCATGTACCATTTTATTTCAAAATAATACCTCCGTTAGATTTTCCATCCATTGATCCGTTAAGTGCTGACGTGATTGCCACATTTGTGCAACGTGTCTGCCAAATGTGTGCTACGTGGCAAAAAAAATAATTAAATTTTTTTTAAAATCTGAATCTTCTAAATTAAAAAAAAAAGTTAGAAAATCCAAAATCCCATCACCCTCTACCCCATACCTGCACCTTTGAAGGCAAAAAAAAAAAAAAAAAAAAAAAACCAGAGAACAACCCAGATCCCATACCCCCGCGAAACCCATACCCCATACGACCACCCCCCAACCCAGATCCCATTACCACCCCTGGCGCGAAACCCATAACCCCCCTGAATCGTAAGGACGTCATCCTCCCATGCATCATCTTCGTCGTCAAAGACGACAACGAGCAGGAGCAACAGGGCGACGATGAGAAATCCCCAGTCGACGGCGAGATCGGATGGTGACGAAGGACCTCCATGAGGAGCAAAGGGATCGGAGAGAGAGCTATGCGGTGGTGAAGGGGAAAGGGCGACGTTGATCTGGGAAGATAGAAGGAAGGGGAGGTGAAGAGAGTGAAGAAGAGGGAGAAATGGGTTGGGGATTTCTGTTTTTTTTTTTTAATTGGGGGTTTCGGGAAGGTGAGGGGAGGGGTGGGGGATTGTAGGGGAGGTGGAGGTGGGCGTGGGTAGGTTGGGATGTGGGTGGGGGGTTGCGGGGAGGGATGGGTTTCAGGTTGTTTTTTTTTTATTTATTTTTTATTTAGAAGATTTAGATTAAAAATAATTTAAAAAATAATTTTTTTTTCCTATGTGGCACACATGTGTCAGCCACATCAGCACTTAACGGATCAATGAGCGGAAAATTTAACGGATGTATTATTTTGAAATAAAATCATGATGTATGAAAGTAAAATATTTTAAAGATGTTGTATGAGGTTATAATAGATTTCAAATCTAATGAGTTACTATGTAATTTGCCCTATTCTTTTGGTAACAACTAATAATGTATTTCTTTTAGGAATTAGTGTAGTAGGCATGTGACAAAGAAACCTAATTATATTGGTATAAATGTAAGTAGGGCAGAAGGGGGTCACAGTCACACCGACTGTGGGGGTATCCTATGGTAGGGTTGACGTAATAATCTGGGTGCATAAATGGGAAGTTGGGTTGTAAACAGAGGACCCTCCATGATGGAATTCATCGTTAAATTATATTTAAATGAGAATAAAAGGGCATGTGGACACTTTTAATTATTTCATCTCTATGCTTTTTAATGGTTATCAAAGCCTACTAATTGAACGTCTGAGTTACCTTTTATATTGTCAATTGATTTTATAGAGCAACCTCAATTTTTTTTTTGTTAGTTGTAGATACGTGTTGCTCAGATTTGGTGAGCAAGCATGGCGGACAAAGGGTCCCGAAGTACCTTCTCGAGAGATTTTTTCCAGCCTCCAATGGGACACTAAACCACCCTGATCCCTTAATGAATATGTCTCTAATTATGACAATAGTCTAGCCATGAAACATATTATTCATATAATATTTGTAAATCCTCTGCATCGTTATAATCAACAAAACGTAAATAGTAACATAGACTACAATTACATTATCGACAATATCAATACAATATCGCTAACAAGATCCCAAAGTATGGGAAAGGGGGAAGGAAGCATGAGCAATGAGGAGAGCAAACATTAATGGAAGCAAATCATGATTAAAAAGGAGTGGGAGAGAGTAAAAGAAGGGATAGCGGGTAGACAAGGGTCAAATAAATACGAGCAAAAGAAGAGATAATTAGTTAAGATTAAGTAGGTGGGCCATGTTGCATTGCTGCTTGCACATGCCTTGGTTCGTGGTTAGTAGATCGTAAATATCATTGGATCACGAGAGAGAAACTGAGCTGATACTCTGAAGAAATTCGTAATCTTTATATGGTTGTTTGATATAGGGACACGTGTCTCGTGATCCAATGTCTCGAATGTTGCTTGCATCGCCATCGAACAAACAGTCAAACATTCTGCAGGATAAGAAGGACAAATGCAAGGCATCGTCGCTTGTCAAAATTTAGGAACGGAATGCCCTACCACCACTGCAGGTTTGGTACAAATGAGCATACAACATTGCGCTAATTATGTGTCTACTAATTCGTAATCTGCAATTAGAAAAAGAAGAATTGAGTTGACGAAAAGTCAGAATCCAGAATTTTGTCGAAAATTCGCTAAACTAATTTTGAATTAAATTATTATGCTTGGGGCGTTGTAGGATTTGCGTGTGTGTGCACACACGAAGCGTGGTGTTACCATCGATATTGCACAAGTATGTTAGGTCATCTCCAACAGAAGGGTTCAGAGGGCCAGAGGGCCGAAAATGACCCCAAAACCGTCTCCAACCGAGGGCTAGGCCAGAGAGCTTGGAAATCTGGGAGGGCCCCACGGATTTTCAAAAGTCCAAAGGGCCAAAGGGCTAGCTTTTTTTTTTTTTATAGTTTTCCTATTGTTGTCGGTTATAACCGACAACATTAAAGAAGGATTTTTTAATATTGTCGGTTATAACCGACAATAATAGGTATTCATAGGCAAAAAAAATTTTATTTACTATTAGTGTCGGTTATAACCGATACTAATAGTTTGAAATTTTTTTGAATATAACGGCTAGTTGAGTCAGCTAGCCGTTGGGTTTTTTTTTTTTTAATTTAAACATTTCTTTTCTTCTATAAATATGGTGAAGTTCTTTCAATTCTTCACTTCATTGGCAATATTTCCTTCTTCAATATTTTTCAATATTTCCTTCAATATATTTCTCAATATTTCCTTCAATATATTTTCCAATATTTCCTTCATCTATAATATTTGTTTCAATTTTTCAATAATTTCCTTCAATATTTTTTCAATAATTTCCTTCATTTTTTTCCTATAACTTATATTTCACAAAATTTGTTTCATATTTCTTTTTAAATTCCATTTTTTTCTATAACTTCTATTTCACAAAATTTGTTTCATATTTTTTTTAAATTCTATTTTTTCTCCTATAACTTCTTAAGCCATTATACAACATTAAATTAAATTAAGTAACATGAAACAACATTAAACAATATGAAACAACATTAAATAACATTAACCAACATAAAAATTATACAACATGAAACTTAAACAACATTTTTAAAAACATAAAAACATAAAATGTAAATGCCTACTCCATGCTTCTTTGGGCCCCAAGATGTGCAACAAGATCTTGTTGTAGGTACTTATTTGTGGCACGAGAACGTATCATTCTATAGCGCCTCATGTACTCATCTATAAAGATACTACTAGTTCTTGGATTGAAAGGCAAATTAGGCTCATCATATATTCTTGTACGAGCTCTTCTTGACCTATTTGGATCTTCTTGGTCGTCATCGGACTCTCCATCAATATACCCATCTCGCTCATCCTGCACTATCATATTGTGTAATATGATGCAAGACATCATGATGGAGTCCAAATTTTCTCGACTCCACCCTCTTGTCGGTTTGCTGATGATCTTCCACCATGCTTGTAGAATACCAAAAGCTCTCTCAACATCTTTCCGATATGCCTCTTGGTGTAAGGTAAACAACTCTTCCGCGTCATTCCTAGGGTTTGGAATTGCTTGGACAAGTGTTGCCCACTTTGGGTAGATGCCATTTGCCAAATAATACCCCATATTGTATTGACAGTCGTTGATGTAGTAGTCAAGTTGAGGTGTTTTACCTTCCATCAAGTTATTGAAGATGGGTGAACGCCCAAGAACTGTAATGTCATTTTGGGATCCAGGGACTCCAAAGAAAGCATGCCAGATCCATGTGTCATATGAGGCAACCACCTCTAACACAACAGTTGGCTTTCTCGACCTTCCGCTAAAGCCTCATTGCCATCCGGTGGGACAATTCTTCCAATCCCAATGCATGCAGTCTAATGACCCTATCATGCCCGGAAACCCACGGTCTTCAACTTTGGGAATGAGCCAATTCAGATCTTCTTGATTTGGCTCGCGGAGGTACTCGTCTTTGTAAAGCTGAACAATTGTGTCACAAAATTCTTGAAAAGTATCAAGGCATGTAGACTCAGACATACCATGGGTTTCATCAATCGAATCAACTGGGGAGCCATATGCCATCATTCGGAGTGCAACAACAACCTTCTGATGAGATCAGAAACTAGGGCGGCTTGCTCTGTCCCGCTTCTGTCGAAAGTACGGATTGACCTGCTGAACATCACAAAGTAAACGCTCGAAGACATGACGCCTCATCCGGAAGCGACGTCTGAAATCCTCTTCTGTGTACACCGAGTTGGGGTCGAAGTAGTTGTTCATCAGATTGGCATGCGTCATCACTATGTTTCGTGGTTTGTAAGAGCGACCAGCAATAAAGCCACCCTATTGAGGTTGTTCCTCAGTTGGTTAACACACCATGGCCGCAGCCATGGCTGTTGCTATGTTTTGTTTGTTGCGCCTTACTTGAACTTCTTCATCAGACTCCTCATCTTCTCGTCTCATTTGCGCCCATTTTGCTTATCTTTTGGAATTGGATGAGGACCCCTAGTTGGAATTTGAAGAGGATCTAAAGTTGGAATTCATTGCAAACTTGAATTGAAAGAGATTGAATTTAAATAGATTGAATTCAAAGTTGTGAATTATATCCTAATATCCACCCTATTTATAGCAAAAACAAATTCAAATCCAACAGCTAGCTGACGTCAGCATAATGTCACTTAACCGTTGGATTTGAATTTAAGTTGTAGTTTTTAAATAATAAATTATGTTTAGCTCTATGGCCCTTTGGCCCTCGATTGGAGACGATTTTTTGTGTACTGTTCATTAAAATATTAATATCTTGAAGAATCTTGGAGGGCCAGATGGCTAAAACGAGTCATCTGGCCAGCCATCGGTTGAAGATGACCTTAGAGTGCTATTTTAGTAAAAGAACGGGCAATTTTCCGATGTGAGATTCAGGGTCTCAACATTCACCATTGCAACCTATTTAGGAATATTAGCACACATACCAAGGCAGAGGGGAACTCGATAAGTGTGAGGGCATGAAATAAGAATTGAGATCCTTTTCAAATTTTTGTATCCGAAGCCAACGGTTCAGATATTTAGAGCACTCAATTTAAATCATACTACTCTTATTAGCCCATCCTATTAAGATCACTTCACACAAAACCAAGCCCTTGAACAGCTTGGAGAGATTTCTCACCTAAACGGTCCAGATTTCCAAGGTCCGTCAACTCCGAAAACAGAGATCCAGCAGAACAGCTTACGCGAATCTAGGGTATACAAAGAGAAAGCAAGAAACGATCTTAAGCTACAATGATATATCTCAACTTAGCCCGATAAGCATTAACAAAAGGGAATAATGGCAAGTTTTAAGAAGCACAACGTTGAAGCTAGAAGAGAGGAGCAACCCCCTCCCCTCGGTTTTTGCAGTATATCATCAAACTTTTAAAACTAAAGTACAAAATTTTATTTCCTTGTTGAAAGAAAAGCAAAAAGGGGAAGGAACTCATAAACTGACAATGTCAAAGCATCAAAAATAGATAACCCAGGGAGCATTAAGTCACACAGGAAACAAGAAACTTCTTATTCTGAACTCCCAAACCATAACCTAAAAACCCTAGAGACTCGATGCTACGTGCACGATCAAGTCTACCACACGGGAACTGTAACCCCACTCGTTGTCGTACCATGAGACAAGCTTGACAAAGTTGTCATTCAATGCAATTCCAGCCTTGGCATCAAAGATGCTTGACCTGCAACAGCACGAGACATGTAATTAGGCTACATTCATGGTATAATGTAAACAATCAACAAAAACCACGCAGGTGTGCAAAGCGATCCCACGTCAAAAAACAGTGCAAACTTGGATTCAAAACTGTTTTCAACATATTATCAATAGAATCTTGTTTCACATAGACTAACAATACCAAATTCATCAAAATGGATTTGCTATTTTACCTGCTGTCACCAATGAAGTCGGTGGACACGACATCATCTTCGGTGTAACCCAAGATACCCTTCAACTTGCCCTCAGACTCCTCCCTGTTCATGACAGAATCACAGATGAAAATTAAAACCAACACAAACTCATGGTTTAGGTAGAAGACAACATCCTGATAAAAAATACCAAATACAAAGCAAAACACGAAAAACAGAGCAAATCTTACTTGATAGCTGCCTTGATCTGTTCATAGGTTGCAGCCTTCTCAAGCCTGACAGTCAGGTCAACAACGGAAACATCAACAGTGGGCACACGGAAGGACATTCCGGTCAATTTTCCATTAAGAGATGGGAGCACCTTTCCAACAGCCTTCATAATAACACATGGTTAGCAACTTAGCACTACAAGACAACTTAAAAGAGACGGACAACAGTAATGAGCATTGTTAATCAAAATTCATCAATTACCTTGGCAGCTCCAGTGCTACTAGGAATGATGTTGAAGGAAGCTGCACGTCCACCTCTCCAGTCCTTCATTGATGGACCGTCAACAGTCTTTTGGGTGGCTGAATAACAATAGGGTAACCATAAACTTCAGTTAGTTTCAGCCTATGTTATATCAAAACTCATACAACTTAACAATTCAAGAGCCAAATCTTACCAGTGATGGAGTGCACCGTGGTCATGAGACCCTCAACAATTCCAAACCTGTCGTTGATAACCTACAAACAATTGAAACAAAAAACAACGTAAATCACACATTCAATAGTATCAAAAATCAATAAAAACTAACAGAAACAAACAGACTCAAACCTTGGCAAGGGGAGCAAGGCAGTTGGTAGTGCAACTGGCATTGGAAAGAATGTGAATGTCTGGCTTGTATTCCTTCTCGTTCACACCAACAACGAACATGGGAGCATCCTTGCTGGGAGCAGAGATGATAACCTTCTTTGCACCTCCCTGGACACGAAAACAAAACGAGTCAGTCCTGATGAACTTAAAAATAAATATATAACAGAACCATATGAATACCAATAAGGTTGACTCCAAAAAGACACAACCACTATTCAGGCTACAACAAGTCAGCCTAACTTCAGGAGTAACAGATAAAGAATTCCAAAAGCTTATGTAGGATCAATTAACGAACTGGGATCACAATCACTATATAGGCTACAACATGTAACACAAAGAAGCTAAAAGGTACCAAGTGAATTCCGAATGCCTATTCAAAGATGTAAGAGCAATCAACAGATGTAAGAACAATAACCAGAAACGCAATTACTAGATGGCAATTGTGATAACAACCAAAATTTCACATGCTATTTTCAAAAATCCAATGATCAATGCAATAGAATCATAAAACCAATAAAAAGAGAGTAAACCTTGATATGGGCAGCAGCTTTCTCCTTGTCGGTGAAAACACCGGTAGACTCAACAACAAAGTCAGCACCGGCCTCACCCCATGGGATCTCCTCTGGGTTCCTTTACAAGATCAAACAAAGAAATCATTCATTAAGCAATAAGCATTTGATTCTACAAAGCAAAACAAATATTGCGCTCCAATTGTCCCAAAAACAACAAACTGGGTTCTATGCTAAGTTCAATCACGTAAGACAATAAACTAATTAGTACCTGATTCCGAAAACAGCGACAGGCTTCTCACCGAAGAGAAGGGTCTTGGAGTCCTTGACCTTGAGCTCATGGTGCTTCCATGCGCCATGGACTGTGTCGTACTTGAACATGTAGGTCTAAACACAAAACCAACCACACAAATCACTAATCCAATCCAAAATACGTAATCGAAACTCGAAAAACAAAATAAACTACAAATCACATCCAACATCCGAAATCGAAACTAAAAAATAAATAAACTACAAATCACACAGATATATTTATGTAAATAACTCACCATGTAGTCGGTGGTGATGAAGGGATCGTTGACAGCAACGAGCTCAACATCGTCCCTCTGAAGAGCGACCCTAGCAACCAATCGTCCGATTCTTCCGAACCCTAAACCCCATTTCAATTCAAATCTCAATTAATTCACAGATCAAATCACAGGTTAACAAACCAACGGTCAAAACACAAAAAGCGACGGATCCGATCATTACCGTTGATTCCGATCTTGATCTTCTTGCCAGATGTTGCTGATCGACACAAAGAAGAACAAACAAAAAGGTCAAAAACACACAAAAATTACAGAAAATTCAACAAATAAACACAAGATCAGCAGCAAGTAAAAATGGCGAAATCGAAATCAATAATTGAGAATTAAGATGAATACCCATGATGATTGTAGAGAGAGAGAGAGTAAAGTCTAGAGAGAGAGAGGCAGATAAGAAAACCGATTGAGGGTTTTAGATGGTAGTGTGAGAGAGAGAGTGAGTGTTGAGATATTATATAAGGGGTTAAACCAGTCGGTGGTTTTGGTCACGTGCAGCGGTTTTTCTTGGACAAAAAGAAAGTCGCTTTGCAGCCGTTGATTGCTTTTAGGGCTTTGTATTAGCCGCTGATTTATTATTACCCGCTAGATTTTCTGTGAGCGCTCTCCGGCGATTCGGTCACGCGTTCTGGAGATTTGGCATTAATGGGATGTGCGTGGAGGGCAAGGCGCTTCGGTTGCACGTGGCGCTCGTGAGAATGGGTCGGCGACCTTTTTTTCTGGTATATTCGGTTGGAGATGCTGCGTTGAGGATGACGTGGCGAAATTGAAATTTTGGTCGATGAGTGAAATCTGAAAAGTCAAATTAGAAAGGGTGAGCTTCTGGGATTACCGGTCAAATTCGACTTAAGGCTTAAATACAATTCACGCCATGTTCTAGATAGTTTTATATACGATTTTACGGGTTTACTTTGTAATGTATGTTAATAATTTAAACTGTTTATTATTTAAAATATAATTCATAGAGCATTATTGTGAAAAAAATTAGATTTTTGCAGAACAATTAATTAAGACTTTAATTTATAGTGAAGAAATTGACGAGTACAATTCTCCGAATAAATGTTAAACCTTTAATCTAACAATCGTATAGTTTTAGATTTTGTGATTTTTGGTAAATATAATATTTTACAGAATAACTAAAAGATAGATAGTTCGGATCGTTAACATACGTTAATGATCCTCAAACAAAAATAATGATGTCACGGATCAATCCTCATAAAAAAATTATGGTTAATGTACAAGAAAAAGGTCTCAAGTCATAGATTAAATTCTTGTGTTCATGATAGAGAGATTCAAGTTTTGCTTGAATGTTAGTGAAATTTTATATTTAGTTCATAATTTTTTATCTATAAATTTTAGCTTTGACGTAATCTCAACCTCGTAACGCATTTTCTTAACATTTCGAACAAATGCATGTCTATTGTGTGTTGTTGACGTAGCAACTAGCAAAAAACAAATTTTACTGTATACCTTTTGAAATTGATTTTAAAATGATAGATATATCGTTGAGGTTGAAGTTGAACATGGAACATGGAACTTGGAACTTGGAACGCAGTCTAGAAGGCACAATTCTGATGCAAACCAAACTCCAAACTCCAGAAGATAACTTTTGAAAGACTGTTATTGTCATGCCTTACCGACGGATGGTGATGCATCAACTCATTCTGCCCACAGATTATGCACCAATTGACCAATATAATTCACATATTCCTTCTTTAAACCACAACCATTACCTTTATCAAATAACTACTAGTCTTATTGCTGAATCATCTATTCTAGGTTAGAATAATCTATGTATAAGCAGTGATGGATCTAAGGTCATCTCCAATTGAGGGCTAGTCAGAGGGTTCGTTTTAGCCCTCTGGTCCTCCAAAAAATTAATATTTTAATGAACAATACAGGGCCATATTTGCCTCCATCTCCAACCGAGGGCCAAATTGCCATATGACTTTGTTGACCCTAGAAACTACCAAGCCTACGTGGCGCGTAGGCCGAGTAACCTACAAGCTAACTACGTCATTCGGTGAATGCGGGGCGTGCCAACTCGTCGGCCGAGCTCGGCCGAGGAGTAAATTTTGTTGATGTTGCGTTGGGTGCGCGGCTGACTTCTGCGTCTTGCGATTGTGGCCGAGAAAGGAACACGTCTCGACCTCTTGGGCTCTCGAACCTGAATACAAGGTTACTATTCTTACGAAGTTCACGAGTCGTCGTCGTCGGATTCAGTCACAGTGATGTTATTCGTCAGAGTAAACTCACGCCGAATCGACACCAGAGTGTAAGGGCACAAATACTCAAAGCAAATATAAGTTTTAATGGTGAACGTGGTTCGGCCGTCCGAATGCCGAACTCTAAATCCCACTTGGGAATATCCAATCATAAAATAACTCGGCGAGCAAAGCGCCGAGCTCGATATACCGTAACACCTCACTTCGCCGAGAAGGCTAATGAGATTACCTCAATCAATAAGGATCCGGAAATCCTCCTCGACCGAGACTTGGATAGGTAATCAACCGTTCTCGCCGCAGTGCTGTTGATGCCAACGGAAGATACTGCGAGATCGACTGATTCTACGGTGACAGAGCTATCTATGCCGACTTAAGATATCACCGGTTGCTTCCACAGTGCTGTTGATGCCAACGGAAGATGTGTCAGCGAAAAAGAAAGAAAAAATCTCAAGTTGTTGAGAGTTTGCGCAGAGCAGTTTTGTATTGATTTGCAGGGGGCCTGAATGATGTGCAGCCTCTTCTATTTATAGCAACGGCTCCCCCCAAGGTCGAGTTAAAAACCTACTCGGACTAGGTCTTCTTCTCCTGATCAACACCAACTCGACCAGTCCTACTTTCACTAGGACTGTGAACCTAGTCCTTAACCGAGCCGGATTCGCTTCCGGGTCCTGCCGAGACTCCTCATTGCACTAGGATTCGACCTCTTGCGTTATGACCTAGCCGACCTAGGTTTGGAGGCCCACGTACTGAACGATCCATGGTATCTTGTCGCAAGGCTTTCCGGGCCGAGAATGATTCTATACTCGGCCCAAACTATTATTTTGGGCCCAAACAGACTTGTTTTAGCCCTGTTACAAAAAACCGTCTCCAACCAAGGGCCAAACATAATTTATTATGTTAAAACTACAAGTTTAATTCAAATTCAACCGCTAAGTGAAACAAATTATGTAAAATTTTGTTTAAAAAATGAAACAAATTTTTTAAAATAGAAGTTATAAGAAAAAAATGGAATTTAAAAAAAAATATGAAACAAATTTTGTAAAATAGAAGTTATAGGAAAAAAATAGAATGAAGTGAGATAGTATGGAATGGTGAAAATTATGTGAGAAATGATGTAGGAATAGCTTAGGTATTTATAGGAAAAGAAAAAGGTTTAAATTTATTATAAAAAAAATTGAATACAACGGCTAGTCAGCTAGCTGTTGGATTCAAATTTTTGTTTAAGCATTCATATCGGTTATAACAGACATGAAATATTTATATTAAATATATAAATATAAATACATTCATGTTATATACGACAGGATTTTTTGAATTTCTGGCCAGCCCCGAGCTGGCTGGTTGGCTGGATTGGCTCAACCTTTTGACCCTTTGGCCCTTTCAGATTCTGTGGGGCCCACGAGCCCTCTGGCCTAGCCTTCGGTTGGAGAAGATTTTTGGCCCTATGGCCCTCTAGACCCTTTGGTTAGAGATGGCCTAAAATTTGAACTTTGGAATTGTCAAACACTTGGTAGGTTTGTTGTTGTTTGTCGAACCATGTTGCACATTCACAATTTGATGAGCGTTATCGAGAGCTTTGAGTTACATCAAGTTTACTAAGGTATGCCTAGCAGACATTAACACTATGTTTGGATGAAGAAATTTAAGATTACTAAGGAATTTAAAAATGACGGAAATTGAAATGAAGGAATTTTATTTTTTAGAATTTGTGAATTTTATTTTTTGGTTAACTTAAAAGAACAATGGAATTGAAAACGGAATTTGTTAATTTTAAACTCCCAATCATAGAAATTGGGAATTGACACCTATCTACATGGAATTTAAACTTAGAAATTGGAGGCCCCAAATTCCAAGTTTTTTTTTCCATGCGGAAATTCTAAATTTCTATGTTATAAATCCAAACAAGGGAATTGATGCATGTCAATTTATAAATTATGACTTTTATCCAAATTTCAAATTTATTTTCTCATCCAAACATAGTGTAAGCGATTCATGATCACAAGTGGGATCCATATCAAATATTAAGGGGGTCTCCAAAGTACCTTCACATGCATGTTTCCCCGATCTCCAAGTGGTCTTGGAACCCCATATGCGACACTTGCATACACTTTATCGCTACATTTTCTTATACATTCAGTTTGACGTATTTTATCCATATCAATGTTATAATTATTGATATCGACAATGATCTAGTTATCGTTTCCAGTGACAGAGCCATGCATCAGCTGCCCATTGCCCTGGCCGGCTGTCCCCCTCCCGAACCCCAACAATCTTTCGAGCAAGCTATATATACAATCGTGCAATCAATTATTCATGCAAAAAATATAAATACGTTCTTAACTCAATCAGAGTCGTTCAACGTAGAAAGTAAAATTCCTAAATATATATAGCTAGGCGTGCATGAAACATCACCAACCACCAGGTCGAAGCGTGGATTGATGACCGAATGGTAGGTATGCATTTTCAATTACAATAGTCAACCATGAAATGAAGGCTCAAGCGATTAATCTGCAAGTGACTTATAGCTTAGCTGGTTAAGAATGTTTATTTTTGCACTTGAAGCTTCATGTTCGAATTCCTTTTCATGTAGTTTAGATGAGTTAGTTTTATTTATTTTATCGATTGTTGTAGGAAACGAGTGCAATGCCATTTTATGATTCATACAGCTGAATCATTTAATGAGATAAGACTTTATTGTTGTATCAATTGTCATATAAAAAAAAGTAGTTATTCTATTTTTTTAAAACATTACCATAACCTAATTGAACGTACTAGAATTGCATAAAGTCAAAGGCAGATGCCGGAATTTTTATTAAAATTTGCAGCCGATCGAACAAGAGATAACTAAAGCAAGAAAATCATGTTTGTAGGTTCCTCCAATTGCCCATTTCATGATATTTAAGCCGATCGAACAAGAGAGAACTAAGGCGAGAAAATCATGTTTATAGGTTCCTCCGATTGCCCATTTCATGATATTTAAGCGGATTGAAGGATAGATAAACCCTATTTTGATAGCAAAACTCTCAATGACTTGGATAGTTTGATTATTAATGACTTGTCTTTTCAAGTTCGACTTTTAAATTGGAGTAGGACACGAATGTTCTTCTATTATAATAAGGTGATTCGGTAACATACGAGAGCTGAAAACTCAATGAAACCAAAAAGCGTGCGTGGTCCAAGATAAGGAAATGACAACAATACACGTGAAGGCAAGTCTCGATTTGTGATCAAGACGGATAATGTGATGACAAGTGACTCATTTGTTGGATGCATCTTGCCTTAGGCTAGGGTAAGGAATTTTTTGTTGACTGGACCTGCACGAGAGAACATTCTATCGCCCATTGGGCCAAAATGGGTGACTCAATTAACTTGTAAATATGGTGAGGACCAAAAAAGAAACTTATTCAAATATTTCCTCAATTGGAAAGGCCACGAATTTTGAACCGAAAAATTAGAATAGTTCAAATTGGAATATGATTCTCTTTCCTCTAAATTTCTCTTCTTTTTTGTCTCTTTCTATGTGAATGGTCACGATTAAACTATATCAACACATTGTGTTGACTTGAGAAAGAAAAAGAGAAAGGTGAGGGGAGGAGGGAATTTAGAGGGGAGAAAATCCTACTCTATCGGAATTTGGATAAAAATTGGTCAAGGCTGAGCTTTTTCTTTGCCTTGTAGTACACGCGAGCCACTCCGTAATTTTTGGGAGTCTAAAAATGGGTAATTAGCGGGGGCAATAAATATAGAGCCCATAATTGTGAAGAAAAACTCATTGTTCTGCCTTGTCTCTCACGCCACCTCCGACAAGAAAGAGAAGGGAATTGTGTTCAATCATCTTCCGTTCTCTTCTCTTCTCTTGGTTTCTTTCATCGGCTTTATCATGGCTTCCTCCTCCAGATGGATAAGGCCTGAGGTATTGGAATTATTTCGATTCTCGGTCTTTTATATGGTTACTTAAAAGTCAAAATATGAAAAAAATCAGATATTAAATTGATGAAGGAGAATGGTTATCTCATTCTCTCCTCATCTTTTTGACAGTCGGCACTCTGTTTGTCACGTGGAATCCCTATAAATATTCACTCGATAGACTTTTAGTGAATTGTGTTCTAGATTTGTAGTGCAAGTTTTAATTAATTTTTTTTTTATCATATATGTGACAAATTTCTGAATTCCATGCCAACTTTTTATTCTATGATATACTGTTCTCTAAATATATATATATTTTTTTGGCATGGACACGTAGGTGTTCCCCCTATTTGCTGCAGTTGGTGTAGCTGTTGGCATTTGCGGCATGCAGCTTGTTAGGAACATCACCAGCAACCCTGAAGTCAGGGTTACCAAGCAGAACAGAACTGCAGGGGTGCTAGAGAATCATGAAGAGGGTGAGAGATACGCAGAACACGGACTCCGGAAATATGTCCGTACCCGAGCTCCCCAGATCATGCCATCCATCAACAAATACTTCTCCGATCCACAGATGCCAAAGTGAATCGAGTGATGCAATTCATCGAATGTGCCGGAATTGGAGAACGTAGGACACAAAATTTGTTTTGTAAAAGGGTTTATGAGGCGAATTCTACGTGCTACAAGCTTCCAAGTAGTTGCTGTGTGTATGATCTTTTTTTATCAATAAAGTTCATATTTTTCCGACTCCGATCTATAACTAATTCCCTACATTGCTTGTGGGCTAAGAAACAAAACCATAGCGTTAATATGGACTGATCATACATACAAATCACTAATCAACATTAGATAAAATGTCGTAATCTGATCTTTACACGAACTCGAGTTTGTACAAGAATCGCTTCCCGATAGGCAAAAGTCAGGAGCAAAAATTAATGAAAAGACCATGGAATTGAGGAATGAAGATTCAGTTCTTGCTCTGTTATCTATTTCCACTAATGAATAGTAGTAGTTCGTCGTCATCATGCTCGTGGAAGATCTCCTCAAGAATTCTGCCACCAACTTTGAAAACGCAGAGGAGCTATCCTGAATTAGCTGAGCCGGAGAATCATACTGTACAATCTTCCCTGCATGAACCAAAGTGTTAACAAAAAACATAGAAGTTCGTGGAATTGGAAGAACAAGGTATGTTATTTAGGGTTTGTTTCTTATTGTTGTAAAACTTATACTGTACCTTGATCGAGAACGAGAACCAAGTCATTGTCGACTACTGCAGGTATCCGGTGAGCAACAGTGATCACGGTGCATTCCTTCATTTCTTCCCTTATCGTCTCCTGAATTACATTGTGCAGCACTAGAATTCTCCTCCTTTAGAAGCACTCTAGCTAGACAAACGAGCTGCCTCAGTCCAAGAAAAAAACTACGAGATTTGGAAACATAGCAGGGGCAAGCAGTCGCCTCTGATCCTTCCCGACAATGTTGCTGAGTCAACATTTGTTCAAGACCTGCGTTACATATGAATATCTTGTCATACAAGCTACCATATTTCGTGACACGAATGCTGCTCCAGGGGATCCAGATTAGTCCTCACAGTTCCTTGAAATAAGGTTGGATCTCGTGGGCTTAAGTCTTGCACTATTTTCGATATGTCTAATCCATCGATGAGAATCTTTCCTCCTGACTCCTGAGGGTTCTACTACTTGGAACAGTGCTTGAATCAAAGTAGACCTCAATTAGCCTAATTATAATCTCTAATTAGTCACTTAATCTCATTTACTATTAATTTATAATTTACAGGCCTCCACGAAAAGATGGAAACCTGATTAAGCTCTATGTATTCTTAACCTGCAGGAAAAACAAACCTTTCTTCATTTGATCAGCAACTTCGAAATGAAGTTTTCCATTGCTGAAAGCTTCCCTTCTCCATTAATTTCATTCAGGCAACAGTAGCCTCTATGAAAATGAAAATTTTCTTGTTTTATTTTTTTGGCAAAGAAAATTTTAGTTTTCATAGGGGCTCTGCTGCCAGAATAATCTCATGGCCATGCAGCTGACTGTGATCTTGTTGCCCATAGGGCTGAGAAATTGTGGAAGAAGAAGAAGAAGAAGGGCTTGAGAGAGAGAGAGAGAGAGAGAGTGGTATGGAATGAGAAGAGAAGAGAATAGGACGGGAACTTAAAAGCTGGATGTTTTTAAGGCTGAATTGCACTATAGTCCTTGTAGTTTCATTCTGTTAAGCATTGTTACTTCACTTTTTTTAACTTTCTTCCAACTTGGGTGGTCCAAATGAGAAAAGTGCACAAAAATGAATCCGACCGCTACCCATTAACTCATTCCGATTGCTCACCTTACACAAATTAAGGGCTTCAATCCCTTTTTCGCACAAACCAAGGTCCCGAATTTTCTGATTCTTGGGTTCCGGATAGTAAGATCAAGAAAAATCCAAATTCGAAATGTAGGACACTTTTGTCATAGGTCCAGAACTCTTTCCAATTCTAGTTTCCATCCGAAAATAATTTTGCCGCACCATTCACAAAACTCGTGACCTTCCAATGCATGGTATCACAGCATTATTGAGAATGCAAACAAACACATCTGTCCTGGAGTTTGGACATGAAGCTGGAAGTGTGAGACAATCATCCAATTCATTAAAATCTACAGGTCTCTCTGTACGTACTACTCTCTTTCTAAATTTCTATTAGATCTTGTAAATTTGTAATTTATAATTTAATCACTTAATCTACATTCACGGTTAACAACTTAAGCAACGAGAATAGAAGAAATATTGAAGCATTGTACCTAATTGGTACCTTTGTATTTGTTTTGATGGATCAATGAAATATCAACTATCGTTTCTTGTAAATAAATAAAAAAAAGAATATTACATATTTGCCAAACACTACATAGTGAAAGGGCTACATCTTACAAAGCTTAGTTCCTACCAAGTTACAAGTGAATTTATACATACCTAATTCTTAACGAACAAAAAAGTAATCTTAAACCCTAGTAAATAACAGGAAAATATTCAAAATCCTTTATCTTACTAGAAAACCATAGCTGATGCTAGAGAAACTACATTTATAAATCACATTCACATGATCACAACGTAACAAATTTAGAGTTATATAGAGATTATCTAACCCTAATGGGATGAAATAACTAAATTCATTTTTACTAAACTCATCCAATTAAAGGATGTGTTGAAGTTACCAAGTTTTGGGCTGGTTAGTCTTGTTGCGCAAACAATTCGCTTTAAGAGATAGTATGACAATGCTTAAGTACTTCCATCCATAAACACTTCTAGCATAAATGCTCTTATTAAAAGCGTATTGTCACCTCTTAGGTACTTCTCCAAAAAGCACTATTTAGTGCTTAGTCATTCCAAACACGTTGTCTTCTAATTCAGTATTTATTCTAGTCTTAACTTTAATCTCTCCAGCTAATCAAACACCCTCATTCCCTTTGTCTCTTCGCTAATTGCCACACCTAATGATTTACTTAAACAAAGCTCAAAGATATCTCATTTGGCCTTCCGGTGTTGGCCTCTTCATTTTAACCATGACTTTTCATTGCGCCATACACTTAAGGGAAATGGGTCCTCTCCGGATCCCTTCTTCCTAATTCACCAAGTTCGGAGATCCGGGCCGTTGAAATTTAATCCAACGGCTACAAACAGGGGCTCATTTTAAAAATTATAATAACTTTAGCCGTTAGATCAAATTTTAACGGTCCGGATTTCTAGACTTGGTGGATTAGGAGGAAGGGATCCAGAGAAGATCTCTTTCCCACTTTAAGGACCACAGAAGAAAATATCGATAATATCGGCGAAATATCGCCGATATTATCGTTTTTTGGGGACCCCGATATTTTAGTAACTATCCAACTAGTTTTCGGCATAATATCGCGATATTATCGATATTATCGATAATATCGCAATATTTTCGAAACTATCGCGATATTTGGTATGGACTCGTCGGAGAACACGGCCGGAGCAAATAATCCGAAACCCTAAATCCCCAAATGCTAATTTCCAGCCTAATGAACTGAATCTACAATACAGGATTCCGACAAGAACGATTTCATTAAAAATCAACATGTTTACAAGCCGAGAAGAACGATTTGAGTACAAAAATCAAAGCAAATGAACCGATCCCTAAATCCCCAAATTCGGATTCAAAGCAACTGAACTGAATCCCTAATTCCTAAATCCCTAAAATCTATTTCAGTACAAAAATCAAGCAACATGCAGATAAATCGCAATCTGTACAAAAATAGAACCCTAATTCCTAAATCCCTAAAATCAATTTCAGTACAACAAAGGTGTGCAACATGCAGAAAAATTGAAATCTTTACAAAAATTTAAAGTAATAGAGGGGAAGAAGAGAAGTAGGAGCCTGGAACATCGTCTTCCTCACGAATCCAAGACGGCTGGGACAAGTTCGTGGTCCTCAGTGGTGTCGACGGCTTGGACTACGGAGACAGAGGGAGACAGGGAGACACGGACGGTTAAGGAGTGGTGTCGACGGCTGGGTTTAGGGCGGGTGAGATGGGAGGAGCAGAGGGAGACAGGGAGACACGGAGACACGGACGAGGACTGAGAACTTCTCGGTGATGATGTCTCTGTGTGTGTGTGTGGAAGAAGTGGAGAAGGGGGAAGGGAGGGAGAAGACTGAGAACTTCTCGGTGAGAACGAAGGCTCAGACCGACCTCAGAGAGAAGAGAGAAGAAGAGAGAGACTGAGAGGATTCGGGAATAGGGTAGTGGAGTGGGAAATGAAAGATCGAGACTGAGAGGATTCGAGAGAGACTGAGAGGATTCGGGAATAGGGTAGTACGTGTGTGGTGTGCGTGTGTGGTGTGGTGGGGGGGGGTCTCGAAGTGTGTGTGTGGTGGAGTGTGAGTTATTCAGTCTTTTTTTACTGTCTGAGTGATGGCATGTTAGAAAAAAAAAGCATCCAATGCTCCAAATTATTGAAAACCAAATCATTCCAAACCTATGTCTACCTCTCTGATACAATAATCCAAAGAACTTTTTGCAATTTCAGAACATGCACAACAAATACTACTGCTTTAATAATGAAAGCGTGTGACAGTCTTTCATATGCAAAACAGTGTCAATGTCTTTCACATGTAAAACAGTGTCAATGTCTGCTATATACTTACATTCTTTCATCATCAGAGGCATTCACTGAATTTTAACTTACATTCTTCTTCCCATACCATTTTCAAAACCATTCCAGATCCTTTCCAACGCCAAGCAACACACAAAGGCTTCCATATTTAAGGTAAGTTTACAAACTTAAATTTATATTATTGTAATTTATACAAAAACAAATAAATTTGTGTGCACTCGTATGTTAATTTTTTTAAGTAATTACTTGCATGTTAATTATGTTAATTTTTGTAAGTAATTAAGTAATGTTAATATTAATTGTTTTAAGTAATTAAGTAATGTTGTATAATTATTCCCTAGGATAATTTTAATATGTTTAATGTTATTTATTATTTTATTTTCCTTACCATTTTCAAAGTCATTCCAGATCCATTCCAAAGCTTGAACACAAAGGCTTCAATATTTAAGGTAAGTTTACAAACTTAAATTTATATTATTGTAATTTATACAACAACAAATAAATTTGTGTGGACTCGTATGTGAATCTTTTTAAGTAATTAATACTTGCATGTTAATTTTTGTAAGTAATTAAGTAATGTTAATATTAATTGTTTTAAGTAATTAAGTAATGTTGTATAATTATTCCCTAGGATAATTTTAATATGTTTAATATTATTTATTATTTTATTTCCCTTACCATCTTCATTATCAAATTGGATTATTATTAATATTAGGTTTTTTTATTATCAAATTGGATTATTATTCTTTAATATTAGATTTTTTATTATCAAATTGGATTATTATTCTTTTATATTAGGTTTTTTTATTATCAAATTGGATTATTATTCTTTTATATTAGGATAATTTTTTTATCAAATTGGTGGATTATTCATTAAATTGGATTATTATCAAATTGGATTATTATTCATCACCATGTTTTATATTAGGATAATTTTTTTATCAAATTGGTGGATTATTCATTAAATTGGATTATTATCAAATTGGATTATTATTCATCACCATGTTTTAATTTAGGATAATTTTTTTATCAAATTGGTGGATTATTCATTAAATTGGATTATTATCAAATTGGATTATTATTATCAAATTGGATTATGATTCATCACCATGTTTTAATTTAGGATAATTTTTTTATCAAATTGGTGGATTATTCATTAAATTGGATTATTATCAAATTGGATTATTATTATCAAATTGGATTATTATTCATCACCATGTTTTATATTAGGATTTTTTTTATCAAATTGGATTATTATTCATTAAATTGAATTATTATCAAATTGGATTATTATTCATTAATATTAGGTTTTATTATTCCATATTATTTGTATAATTACTTAACTTTTTACAATCATTTTCTTTACTTTGTATTTAATTCTTCTGTAGAATAACTTTATTATTTAGGTTCTCTTATTTTTATCAAAAATTAATTGTCTAATTTTAATGAAAAATAAATATAGGTACGTTTAAGATGTCAAGTAAACGTGATCCAGCTTGGGAACATGGAGACCCAATAGACGGAAACAAACATGGCACAATTTGCAAATATTGTGGGTCGGGTAATGAAGAGTGGCGGAGTGACACGACTGAAGTATCATCTTAGTGGATTAGATCCATCAAAAAATGTCCAACGATGCGATAATGTCCCCACAGAAGTGAAGGCATTCATCAGCACATTATTAAAAAATAAAAAACAGCAGAAGGAAAAGATGACACAAGGAATGGAAAATATTCGAGCTGGGCTACGGGGAGAAGTCTATGGCCAAGCGGTTGACAGTGATGAGGATGACGATGAGGAACGAATGTGATGATGACATGGGACCTGAAGAACGACGCAGTTTGAAACAAGCATTACGTGCCTCCAAACAGTCAGCATGGGAAAGAGAACACCTTCATAAAATTCCTAATAGGGGACAAGGTTCCGGGACAAGTGGTGGTGCACAAATGAGACGGGGAGGCAGTCTTAGAGAATCACAACCAACACCACCAATAGCCCCAAGTTTATATAAGTCATCCAACGCACGTCAAAAGAGTGTTTGGAGTTATTTCAAGGGAGGTAATGTGAAGGAGGGAATGGGGCGTCTAATTAGCAAGTTCTTTATCTATGAAAATGTCCCTGATGCGAAGGCTTCATCACATCATTTAAAAAATATGGTAGTGGGATGTCAACAGGCCGGTGTTGGAGTACAACCTCCCACTCCCTATGAGATAAGAAACAAATATTTGGATATATGGAGTATAAAGACATTGGCGAGTATGTTAACAAGTTGAGGTCAAAGTGGGAAACTAATGGTTGCACAATCATGTGTGACGGATGGACCGGCCCGACCAGATTATCTATCATCAACTTCATGGTATACTCCAAGGGCAAGACAATTTTTTCTGAAGTCTGTTGATGCTTCAGACCATATAAAGAATTACAAGTATATTTTACAAATTATTGAGGGATGTAATCATGGAGGTGGGAGAGCATAATGTTGTCCAAGTCGTGACCGACAACGGTTCTGCATTTGTCAAAGCTGGAAAAAAGTTAATGAAGCATCATAATGTGTTTTTGGACATCATGTGCAACACATTGTATTGATCTTATGTTTGAGGCAATGGGGAAGAGAGAGAATGTTGCTACTGTGGTCAAAAAGAGCTAGAACGATCACTAATTATATTTACAATCATCACGGTTGGTTGTTGGCAAAGATGCGTGAATTTTGCAGAGGAGAAATTATTCGTCCAGCTACCACTCGATTCGCCACCAACTATATTGCATTAAACAGCCTACTCAAGAAGAAAGCAGGGTTGAAGCAACTATTCACTAGTGACGATTGGGCCAACCACAATTTCAGCCGCTCAAATACAGGTCGTATGGTGGAAAGTATAGTGCTTGATCATGCTTTTTGGAGTCAAACAGAACATGTGTGTCAAGTGTTTGAACCTCTTTACAAAGTTTTACGGATCGTTGACACAGAAGTGTATCCTACTATGGGGGCTGTATATGAGTTGATGCGTGTAGTGAAGGATGAATTGGAAAGAAAACATGGTGCAAGGTGGGTCGTAAAAATAATTGAAGACCGATGGTATAAAACATTATACCACGATTTGCATGCAGCAGGTATAAATTATGTCATAATTTGCAATTCATTTCTTTAGTTGCATAAGTATTATTTATCTTATTAGAGTATGTGTTTCTTTGAACAGCATATTATTTGAATCCCCGATACCAATATAGACCCGGTGTTGGAGATGATGGTAACCTTATATGTGCTGTACATAATGTATACAATAAATTAGACCCTGCATCACCAGCAGTTGGCCAATTTGGAAATGAGGTACACAATTACTTAAATTATAATAATTACTTTGTTGGATTAAACTGACACAATTTATTGTATTCAGCTAACATGGTTTAAAGATGCAAGAAGAACATTTGGAGAACCAACATCAGTTGCTGCTCGAACAAATATGTCTCCTAGTGAGTATAAACATATTTCACTATAAGTTTATAATAGAATTTGTTGGAGTTATTAGGCTTATCAACATTATTTTTCATTGTAGCTGAATGGTGGATCATGTATGGGACCGATGCACCAACTGTGAGAAAGTTAGCAATAAAAGTATTATCACAAACGGCTTCCTCATCTGCTTGTGAAAGAAATTGGAGCACATTTGCACTCATCCACACAAAGCAAAGAAATAAGTTGGCTCATAGTAGCTTGGAAAAATTAGTTTATTGCTACTACAACATGAAGCTTCAAATTCGAGATAAGGAAGCAGAAATCGATCATGTCGACCGTGGTGACCCACTAGATGTGTTTGATATTGTTGGTGAAGATGATGATACGGAGGGTAACCAACTTTTTCAATGGATTAGACCTCTTCATTTAGATGATGATGAAGGCAACCCAGCTCCCAGAGTTGCTGAAGAAGCACGTAATGAAGGGATAAATGTAGAAAGAGTATTAGAGGAGGAGGTGGGATCTAGCAGCGCTGACTCTTTCGAAGAACTTTTGCAGCCAAGACCAAGCAACACTGGAATTCCACCTTTTTTCCAATCCTACACAACCACAACATCGTGCTGATACTAATGATAGCTCTAGTACAAGATCAGGAGACTCACCTACCACCGGAGGTGGGAATGATGAAGGACATAGTGGAGCTGGAGGTAGTGGAGCTGGAGGTAGTGGTGGTGGATATGGAAACTATTATGGACCACCACCTCCCGGATATATGAGCCCCTTCACTAGTGAGGCAAACTTCACGCATGCAACCCAGGATGATGACCATGGCAGTAGGCGGGCAGGACCAGGAATTGGTGCCATAGGGAAGGACTATACTCGCAGAGAAAGAGGCAAAAAGATTTTTTCAAGTCAAGAAGATGACTCGTTATCTAGAACTTCAGACTCTGTTGGATTGGGAAGTAGTAACTATGGTTATCCTCATAACCAACCATTTCCCTACCCTTCATATCCCATTCCTGTTGGGATGGAATCGAGCGACTCATGGAATCAATCTCAGCCTCAATCTTCAAATGATTTTTCTTATGGACAACCTCAACCAATCTCGGATCCATATGGGTGGCATATTAACAATTACATGCAAAATTATTTTGGGGATTTATCATTTGATAACTACTTCACAATACACTCATTCTACACATAGAGATGATGAAGATAGTGACAAATTTGAACCTCATAGGAACTCTATGTGGTTCTAAAGTGTAAAATATTGTACTAATTTATTATATATAAATGATTATGGTGTGTTTAGACTTCTTTCATTAATTACTACATATTTTCTACACTCATAATGTTTGTCAGATCGCTATATAATCAACTTGATAATGTTAAATCCATCATGCAATGCATTTCCTTCCAATTTTTTGTGATAAACTAATAGATAATTGACTAAATAAACATCCTACAAAGTTTCAATAAAAATTTCCAAGTTTTTCTTACAATTTCCGTGGTTTCCATGTAATTTTTATCGATATCGATATTTTACCGATATTTCCATCGATATTTCCGTGTTTTCGAACTACCGATATTTCCGATATCACCGATATTTTCTTCCTTGTTAAGGACCACTTCATTTGTCCTTAATATTAGTTAATTTGGGTATCAAATTTTCTAATCTTGATCATGTCCTTTCAATTTCAAGTTTTCAAATTTATATTCTACAGAAATATCAATATATTATTGAAGGACAATCATGTTGTTGATTTAGGGTTTGTTTGAAAGTACTTTTAAAATAAGCAAAAGCGCTTCTAGTAAAATTAGATTTTGATTTCAAAAACACTTTAAGTGCTTTTTAGAAGAAGCACCAGATGTGCTTCTTGTAGGAAGCACTTAAAGTGTTTTTCCAGAATCTACTTGGATTTTACTAAAGATTGGTTTCAAAAACATTTTCACCAAAAACATTTTTAATCATTTTAAAAACACTTTTAAACGAGCTCTAATTGTTCAGCTTGCTTGTTGATCTCCTTGCAGTTGATTTATGAACCTAAATGTCCAAAACAAAGGGAAATATTATTCGACCCCAACAATTTCGTTCCATACACAACAACGAAAAAAACTGCACATTCAAAAGCAAACACAAACCGTAACAAAAGAGAAACATAAACACAGAGATATGAAACCTCAGCACACAAGATGTGATCAGATCAGATGGAGTCTAAAGCACTCGGATTCAGAGAAGCAAATGCAAGAAGCTGCGCGTCGCGCTCGAACACATCCAATTGTTGCTTTTCCAAATTCACATATGCTTCAATCCCTTCTCCATTCCTTGTATCAATCAGAAAAATAGCATTCTTCAGGGAACAGCTCGCAATAGTCACCCAAATTGGCTTCCCCCAGCCAAAGTCAGCTTCATACACTGGGAACCTGCACCAGCTGCTACATCTGTACGTCACCAAATTCGCTATCGAAAATTCTTTCCTTAATGCTTGCGTACACTCTTTAAAGATTGCCGGCCATTGATCTTCCCCGCGAAACTTTTGAGCATAAGAATCACAAAATCGGGTCATGCTCTGCTTCATTTGAGTCACCAGGTCATGCAACTCGATCACACCGTCCTCAGCTGTGGACAATGTAAAAGCCCAAATCATGCTGCCTACAGAATTTTTCGGCAACGGAGGGATCACCCTAGTGCGGAGATTCACTGCATGGATGAAAACTGTCGGGTTTAAGGACGACTGTGAAGTTGATCTTAACGCAGAAATTGCACAGCTGTAAATCAAAGCTGTCACAACTTCAACCCTTGTGGGGTTTTGCACTTTGTCCGCGACTATTGCTTTGAGGGAAGCAATCTTCGGGGCATCAAACACAAATCTCTTGGTGACGCAGTCGCCTTTTTCGAGCACAGTTTCCGGGAACAATGGCATGTCACCTTGGGGAAATGTATCTGCTCCGATGAACAAAGGAGACGGTACATATTGATCACACTTGTTTCGAGCAGCCCAGTCGTTGATGAAGTTGGCCACGGTGGATGTGTCAGCTACTTTGTGTGACATACAGATGCCAATTGCCATGCCACCACAGTCAAAGAAGCTTACTTGAACAGCAAAGATCACGCTGAGACTCGAATCATCGTTCCACTGTAAATTGTCTGTGAATAACAAGTCCAGCCATGTATCTTCAGGGTGTTCAAGAATTTCAGATAGCTTGATGTTTCTGACTCTTGCTTCGACAAACGCAACTCCTTCATCGTTGCAGTCAACGGAGGCTCGGTCTCTGATCCTGCCGGCGAACGGGTAGTACTTGGATAGTATTTCTGATAAAGATTTCTTGAGCTGATTGGATTTGTGATCGCCTTTAGTAGAAGCAGAGCTCTCCTTGTGATAGAAGTAAACCACCGGCAGATAAGTACGAGGAGTATTCTGTTCGAGGAATGAAAGGTTGTGTGTTCGAAGATGTGGTGGGGTTGGAGTGGAAGGTTTGATGATTTCTCTGGATATGATTTCAACTTCCATGGTCATGACAACTGTATTGGATTGATGCTAAAAATCCAAAGCTGCAATAAAATTTTGAGCTTTTCCAAGTTCATATGGTTGAAATGTATTTATAGGATGAAAACTAACGAGGTTGTGAGGAGTGATTATCATACTCTCGTTTTCTGCTTCTGCACTCTTCTCTTTGTTTCTAGCCATCGATTCTCCTTCAATTATCGCCATGATTGTCCTTCAAGTGATATATTATTGAAATTTCTAAGCAAAAAATTTGAAAACTTGGAAGTGAAAGGATATGATCAAGATTAGAAAATTTGATACCCTAATTAACTAATATTAAGGACAAAGGAAGTGGTCCTTAAAAAGTGTACGGCAGAATGAAAAAGTCATGTTTAATTAAAGTGAAGAGGCCAACACTGTAAGGTCAAGTGATGAATCATTGAGCTTTGTTTAAGGGATTAATGATTATCAGCACTCAAAAGTGCTTTTTGGAAAAGCACCTAATAGGTGACAATGTGCTTTTAATTAGAGCATTTATTCTAGAAGTGTTTATGAGCGGAAGTGCTTAAGCTTTGTCAAACTCTCTCCTACCGCGAATTGTTTGCGCAACAAGATATGATGAGTGTATAATGGATGGACCGAATCCTAACAGCCCAAGACTTGGTAACTTTTAACACATCTTTTAATTGGATCAACTATTTCCAATTTTCCACACCCCCTTAAGAGCTAGAGTCTCTCTTTGCTGGATCAGATAGCTCCTACATTTTACATGCCCGTCGTTCTGTCCTACTTGGCGTGACATGTTGAAGCCGACTACCATTATTTTCCGGAGAGTTACCCATAAAGAAGCGATGGGTTGAGCTTTTCATTATCTCTAAACTCTTTTCAATAAACCCAAATGAGCAAAGCAGCACAGCAATAAGGGAAGTACCAAGGGAAATTTATTGAGACCCAACTGGTTTCTTTTTAGACCTCACAACGAAAAAAATGCAGATTCAAAAGCAGAAACAAACACAACGGTTTGAAAACTAACACGAAATAAGATTGACTATGCATGTGCTGAAGATGATCAGATCAAACGGAGTCTGAAATGCTTGGATTCAAAGAAGCAAATGCAAGAAGCTCCTCGTCGCGCTCAAACACATCCAGTTGCTGCTTTTCCAAATTCACATATGCTTCAATCCCTTCTCCATTTTTCGTATCAATCAGAATAAAGCAGTCCTTAGTCGTGCAGCTAGGAACGGTGATCCAAATTGGCTTTCCCCAACCAAAGTCAACTTCATACATTGGGAACCTGCACCAGCTTGTACATTTATACATCACCAAATTTGGTCTCGAAAATTCAACCATTGATTCTTGCAAACACTCTTGGAAGATCACCGGCCATTGATCTTTCCCGCGAAACTTTTGAGCATATGAATCACAAAATCGGGTCATATTCTGCTTCAGCTGAGCCACCAGGTCATGCAACTCAATCACGCTGTCCTCAGCTGTGGACACTGTATATATCCAAACCATGCAACCTACAGAGTTTTGCGGTACCGGAGGAACCATTCTAGTGCGCAGGTTCACTGATTGAGTGAGAACAGTCGGGTTTGAGGAAGACCCTGAAGTCAATCTTAGCGCAGAAATTGTGCAGCTATAAATAAATGCTGCGACAACTTCAACCCTCGTGGGGTTTTGCACTTTATCCGCGACTAAGGCTTTGAGGGCAGCAATCTTTGTGGCATCAAACACAAATCTTTTCGCGACACAATCGCTTTTCTCGGGCACAGCTTCTGGGAACAGTGGCAGGTCACCTTGGGGAAATATATTTTCCGCGACGAACTCAGGGGATGGTACATACTGATCACGAGCCACAGCTGCCCAGTCGTTAACGAAATTGATTATGGTGGATGCATCAGCTATCTTGTGTGACATACCAATGCCAAGTGCCATTCCACCGCACTCAAAGAAGCTCACTTGAACATCCACGATCACACTGACATCCGGATCCTCATTCCACGCCACATCTTCGGAGATTAACAACGCCAGGTCCTCGTCTTTCGGGTTCTCAAGAATGTCAGAGAGCTTGAAGTTTCTGATTTGCGTTTCAACAAATGCGACTCCTTCATCGTTGCAGTCGATGGAGAATCTGTCTCTGATCCTGCCGGCAAAAGGGTAGTATTTGGACAGTGTTTCGGATAGTGATTTCTTGAGCTGATTGGATTTATCTGCGACAGACCAATAATCGGAGGCTTCCTTGGGGTAGAAGTAAACGACCGGAACATAAGAGCGAGGGTTAATCTGATCGAGGATCGAGAGTTTGTGTGTTCGAAGATGTGGTGGGGTTGGAGTGGAAGGTTTGATGACTTCTCTGGATATGTTTTGAACTTCCATGGCCCCCATAACTGTATATTTGTGAGCTTTTAAGTTAATTTGTATGTAGCAGATAACAGAAATGTACTTTATAGGATGAAAAGCCGAATGATTTCATAGACCCCCAGTCAACTTTGGTAGTCTGCAATCGCTGGCATAAGTAACATTATCGCCCTCCATTTTTCAAAACCTGTCTACAGAAGTTCGACAAGGACTGAGAAGAAAAGAGAGTCCCAAGATGGCAAGGTTATCCACCATTTTTGTGGGTCGAAAGACTCACAGAGATATTTCAACCTCCCTTAACTACAAATCTGGCTTCCACACTAACAGTAAGTTTCGAACTCGTGACCTCCAATTTTTAATTTGAAGGAAATTTTACAATCTGATCTTTACTACTAGGCCACCAATGTTGACTAAAATAAGAACTCGTCAAGATGCACTTTGACCATATGCACGTGCCACACGAGGGAACAAAATTAAATGAAAAGACCATAACTACCCACCAGATGCATAGTAATGTTGAAAATACTGGTGAGAAGTGAATGCCCATACAGATCTTGGAAGATGATTCAAAGTGTGTGCAGGATGATATTCAACAATGGCATTGTATTGTCAATGTTCATAAATGTTGACATAGACTATGGAAACAAAATATGTGTTTGTCAAAATATGCGATGTAAGTTTTCAAATTGTAAGAAATTGTGTGTATGGAGCTGCTCTATAAATAGAGCGCTCCAACTACAACAAACGCACGGAAAAACAGTTAGAAAACAAACAGATCAATAATATCATCCATTCCTCCCTCTTTAATTTGCCATCTCCTTGTGTTTTAATTACAGTGTGATATTTTACCTCTGCTTCGGTCCACTCACTATAAAGGTTATCTCTCTAACTTTTACATTTATATAACAAGTAACTGTTTTTGTATTTTTTAGATGTACGGGACACATTTCTCACGATTTTTCATTCTGATAACATAAAGGGTGATTAGTTGTTGTGAGGCCTAAAAGACATCGAATTTCAATGATATGGCTTGTCTGTTTTTCAAGTTGCACCTTATAGATCGTTCTTACAAAATATTAGCCAAAACGGAAAATTTTGGGGCATCTAATTGAGTTCAAATAAGCTAATGAACATTGTGATTTAAGAAACATTGAAATTTCACCGTGACAATCGAATGGGCAAATTGTTTTAGATTAAATTGAATTTTTGCAAAGATGATCAGTGGATCAAGACTTGCAACATAAATAGTTCAGATTATTAAAGTTCGATGCGAAGTGGATCCCATAACTATCTCTATTTTTTCCAAAGTGCAAATATCTATTAGTCGTTTCATTTTTCCAAATAGCTTGTAGAAAACTGCTTTTGTAAAAAGTTACCAGGCGAGCTAAGGAATTTTTTCAATACAATCGTTATTGGAGGATGAAGAATGAACTTAAGACCTCAGATGTAAAAGGTAAGTTATTCTTAACCAAGTGCAAAACTCTCACAAACTTAAAGCAATTTAAGAAAACTGAAAACAATTATGATTGACGAAAACTTATCAGAACTCTCCAAGAAGCAATCTCATTTCTAATAAAAATTACATATAGTGGTTTTTAATTAAAACACTTAAAAAGCAAAAGTTCTTCTACGAAAACTTATACCGTGCTAACTCCTCGTGTTTTAGGTCCTTTGCAATATTGTGACATTCTACCAATGATTGCATGTCACTATCAACCCAATTGAAAAATATAACCTCATCCTTGTGTATACTTCTTTGCATCCCTTTTTAATCAACTGACCTTCATGGTAAATTTTATATATGAAAAAGCCCGAATTAGCTACAAGACATACAAATTGAAGTCAAAATTATGTTACACTTAGAATGAATAAGTGGCATGCATCAAAATCTACTATGTTTCGTTCCTTGTATTTATGCAACAAAAAATTCTTCTCCTATAATTAATCATGTGCAATTCTTTCTTAGTAGTTCTCAAAGCTAAATTTTCAGCCAAGAGTTAATCAAATGTGATAGTTAAATGTAAAGAGAGGGAAGACGCTTACATATTAATATTGAACTAATATTAAAGCATTACAACTAGAATATTTTCAAGTTAAATCATCTCTTTATTTAACCTAAAAGAGAGAGAAGCCATTAAATTAGGAAAAGGAAATTGAGAGCAGGGTATTGTCAAATCTATGAAAAAAGGATATGGATACTCTAAGCTTGAGAGGAATGCGAAGAACATGCTAATTAGTCATTCCCCATCAACTTAATTAAGTTCCTTCAATTTTATTATCATAAATTGTTTGCATAATTAATTTATTGGGTTTGGCTAGTGTTGTTCCTGATTGGAGGACAATGGAAGAATTTAACACAAAGTGACAAACATATACATTGGGACAGCAGAAAAGTCTAAACCCACTTCAAACCCTCAAACACCGACATTACAAAACAACCCATTGACAAATTTCACAAGAAAACAACACCCATTTATCAAACCGAGCAAAAAGCCATATTGGGACCACTAAAAGTGATAACAAACTCAAAAACTAAAGGAGATTCGATTTACTCACATATTGTGGAGACTTTCCCTTTTTTTCGATATATTTTTTTGGCATCGCAATCAACCTAAATCATCCTCACAAACAACCAAACTCGAATTATTCCTGACAATCCTTTAATTTAGTCGAATCTAATAGGTTTCATTGAATCTCATGTAGAAAAGAATTCGCAGAAGGAGGAGGAATGAGGAAGAGTGAGGAAAAGTAAGGGATTTGGTCGGACAAGTGAAAAAAGTGGGAAGGGAGGAATAGGATTAGTAGGGTATTATTGTCATTTACCATGAAAAAAATTGTTACGTGTTTCTTTTTAACGTTGATTTGAACGGAACACTAACGGAAGAACGATATTGATTCACGGGGTTAATATTCAGAGATTACATTGATCGATTTTCAATTTCAATGACCATCATGATTGATGGAGTTAATTTCAAAGAGCATTTGTGATAAAGACACTATAAGAAATTGTCAAGATGCACTTTGACCATACGCATATGCCACACGAGAGGTCGAAACAAAATTACAGAAATAAAAAGACCATAACTACCCACCAAATGCATACTAACTGTTTTTGTATATTTTTCGGGATGTACATGACACATTTCTCACAATTGTTCATTCTGATAACAGAAACGGGAATTTGTTGTGAGGCCCAAAAGACATTGAACTTCAATGATGTGGCTTGTCTGTATTTCGAGTTGCACCTCATATAAATCGTTCTTGTAAAATATCAGGCAAAACAGAAAAATTTGAGACATCTAATTGAGTTCAAAGAAACTGACGAACATTGTGGCCTAAGAAACGTTGAAATTTCATCGTGACACTCGAATGGGCAAATTATTTCGGATTAAATTGAATTTTTGCAAGGATGATCTGTGGATCAAGAACATAGATGATTAAGATAATTGAAGTTCGATGCGAAGTGGGTCCCATAACTATCCCTATTTTTTCCAAAGTGCAAATATCTATTGGTCGTTTCAGTTTTCCAAATAGCTTGTAGAAAACTGCTTTTGTAAAAAGTTACCAGGCGATATAAGGAATTTTTACAATACAACCGTTATTGGAGGATGAAGAACGAACTTAAGACCTCGGATGTAAAAGCAATTTAAGAAAACCGAAAGCAATTATGATCGACCAAAACTTATCAGAACTCTCCAAGAAGCAATCTCATTTCTAATAAAAATTACATACAGTGGTTTTTAATTAAAACACTTAAAAAGCAAAAGTTCTTCTACGAAAAGTGCTTCTTGTAGAAGCAATCCGAATGGATATCTCCTATCAATGGCTTGTTTGTCCAACACGATTAACGTGTAATCTACGGCCAAATCTTCCAGCCTTCTAGTAAGCTTAAACAGGTTTCCAAATCATCTCCAAGCTCAACAAGCAGTTAGTTGGTTGAAACTTTATCAACCAAGGGGATTAAAATCAACAATTAGTTTCTCTAACAATAGAATAGCTGCTTATAAATAGAGAGTTTCGATAACAGATTAACTGTAATCAGTTAATTTCGCTATAATTAGCGATCTTCGTCTCAAAGCTGAACAATGTAAATTCTATGAGAAATCCGCTGTGATTATTCTTTCTCCGGAGCTGCAATTCCTACGTAAAAAGGTCAAAATGCAGATGAAGATTGAGATAGTCTCTGAAGATCAATGTAAACCATCATCTCCGACTCCAGACCACCTTAAGTGCTACAAACTCTCTCTGCTAGATCAGATAGCTCCTATCTTTTACGTGCCCGTTGTTCTATTCTACTCAGCTTCTGTAAACATTGACGATACCACCATTGTCGATAGGCTGAAGAAATCTTTATCCGAAACCTTGACCTGTTTACCCTTTGGCCGGAAGGATTGAGGGTAACGCATCCGTGGATTGTGAAGATGGAGTTGTTGTCTTCACAAAAGCTAGAGCTCACATTCAGCTCTCTGAGATACTAAAAACTCCAGAAATGGATTTAGTGCAACAACTTCTTCCACTTGATCCCTACAATATTAGAACAGACAAGGAGGTTGCAGCCATGGCCGTCCAACTGAACTGTTTTGACTGCGGTGGCATGGGCATTGGGATCTGCCTTTCGCACAAGATCGCAGATGGTGCAACATTGTCTTCGTTCCTTGATGCTTGGGCAACAAGGTCACGCGGTATTTCAGAAAACATCACTCCCTCCCTAAATTCAGCCACCATGTTTCCACCTAGGGACAAAGAAATCTTCATGCCAACCAATTTGATCAAGAGAGAAAATATCGTGACAAAGAGGTTTGTGTTTGATGCATCCAGCTTAGCCAAGCTGAAAGTCAAAGCATCCAAGGGTTTGTGCACGGACGACCGTGCTCCTACTCGTGTGGAAGCTCTGACAGCCCTTATATGCAAGTCTAGCATGAATACGAAGAATGGTACATTGGGTAAGGGCAGGCCATCAATGGCGATATCCCATGTGGTGAATTTAAGGGAACGAATGGCTCCACCTTTGCCAGAGCATTCTTTTGGTAATATCTGGCGGTTTGCTGTTGCATCCATAATGAACGACGAAAGCAACCCAGAGTTGCATGACTTCATGGTTCGATTAAGAAAAGTAATAAGGAAGATCGATGATGATTATGTGAGGAAACTGCAAGGTGAAGATGGGTTTACACATGCTTGTGAGCCTCTAAAAGAAACCAGTGAATTGGTCTCCGAAGGAGAGGTTGAGTTTTTCAGGTTCAGCAGTTGGATTAGGTTTTCCCTATACAACACTGATTTTGGATGGGGAAAACCCACCTGGGCATGCATTCCTAATGTGCCCATCAAGAATGTTGTCATACTGTTGAGTAGTAGCTCGGGTGACGGAATAGAGGCATGGGTGACCTTGGACGAGGAAGACATGGCTAAATTTGAACGTGATCATGAGCTTCTAGAATTTGTTTCTGTGGCACCAAGCTCATAAACCTATGTAGCTAGGTTCATGTCTTCCAGCCAGTCCTATGCTTCAAGTGGTTGATGTTCGTAGTTTACACATTTGTAAATTACCATCATTTGGTTAGGAACATGTAACCGAAAGCACAAGTCCAGTAAATGCATATTAATGATGATGTAGGGCCTAAGAACATTCATCGCAAATAAAGCCAATCAGATATATTAATATATTAAAAAATTCACACGCAAATAAATCTTTCTGAGATCCACGGAAAGATATTATACACATACAGAAACGAGACTAAGTAGTTCAGTAAGTACTTCAAACCAATTAAATCAACTCCAAGTGAATAAAATTACCTGTACTTTGCAGCTTCTTTCATGTTAACCCTTATCGTCTATACCACTATGTTCACCGTGCTGAATATGTAATGCAGCTTCGAACTCCTGTTTTGTTGTTTTGTGCAAATGGTATCTGTGAAAATCCCTGAATTCCATTGCTGTGCAATGTTTCTGTTGAACGTTGGGTGAAGAAGCCAAAAATAGAGGGGCAAACAGAAAAGAGTATGGACAACTATCAATTAGTGTTCAACCTTTCACAGCACACAGCCACGCAATGCTCCCACACCCCCCCCCCCCCCCCCCCCCAAACAAAACGATCCAAATGCAGCAAAACAGAAACATGAGACCTTCTAACAGCATGAATATATCCCTCTACCATTAGCTTGAAGATGTTTGGATTGGACCCAAACGGTGACCAACTGCTTCACTGCTAACAGCATTTGAAGCAGCAACCTCTTCTAAGCGCTTCCAGGTGGCTTCATGTTTTGCTTTAATCTCCTCCTCTTTTGCTTCCTCTTCTTGAAATTTGAGCAAACACTCCTCAAATAGCTCAGGATCAACGTCGGAGTAGATTTTACGGATATTTAATGTCAAGCTCCGGGCCACTTGGTTCCAGTGGTTGCGGCCATTCTTCTCCAGGGCAGGAAAGATAATGGGCAATATGACTTTACAGTTTTCTCTGATTAAGTTCTCGATGTGATCATTGTTCCACAAGTACAAAGCCCTCTCTGCCACCTGTAAAAGCACACATCAGTCAGCTCAATCAAGGTTCTTGGTCAGCATATACATGGAATGTGAGCAAACAATTCAGAAGAACTTGCCTGAAAGTTCAATACGGAAGGAAATACAATAATAACGATCAAAGGTATAAACAAGAGTAAAACCAAACCAAAAATGGACAATACTTATCAGAATCAATAAAAGGTGACATGCAAAACTTTTGGGAGAGCAAGTGGAAGAGATGGGTTTCTCCAAACAGGCGTCAAATATTTGTAAGCACAAAGAAATAATAAATTAAATGAAGACACAGCTTAATAGTCAATACCTGAAAGTGTGAACTGCTCAAGCAACGAGATATTTGGCGGAATAGTGGTACCATACATTTCTGAAATTCTGCTGGCTGAGTTGCTTCTAAAGTTTCCTCGAGCTCACTTAGGAACATGACTTCCTTTGAACTATTTGTGATTGGCCAGTACTTTAACAACCCTCTTATAACAGTATCTGCAAGCCTGCAATCTTTCTCGACAAACTGTGAAATGCAGTAGGACAACTGCTGATGGTACATTTGTAAGCATCTTGGCTTGTGAAGGGGGATCAGAGCCTGAACTAGGAAAAGTTTGTGTTCTTCTTTAAGCGGAAGAGCAAATCCATTGATTATACTGCCCAAAACCTCTAAAAGCTCAGCAATCCCATTGTGCTTTTCTGTTTCAAAAATAAATCGGAAAAATATATTGTTGATCGCCTTCCTAATGAATGGGCGATGCGCCATAAATTTTCCATAGACACGATGCAGAATTGTTTTTAAGTACTCCCTTTCCCTGGGATCCTCAGAATCAAAGAGATCCAATAATTTGAGAACAAAAGACTGATCAATGTACTTCTTAGAAACCTTTGCATCTGTCTCAGGTGATGCAACAAACCTCAGAAAAAGTTCATATACAATCTGTAAGTGTGACCATGCAGGGTCCATCAAAGGCTCCTCCTCCTCCAAATCAAATCCTTCTAAAACCTTGTTCTCTCGGGGCTGTGGAGAGAACGACCTGAACAAATTCACACTCACCACCTTTACAACTTCTTGAACTATAATTTCAGTGAACTTACCATTTGCAGAGGTAACATAATCTACAAGCTCTAGCAACGTCTGCCGCTTGATGTCTTTTTCTCTCAGATTTTTTGTCGGGTCAGTGAAGTCAAACACTACACAACATAAGTTCAGCTTTTTCACAAACAAGTTATGCTTCTCGGAGTTGGGTACATCTCTAAACGCTGGAAATGCTTCATAAGAAGTTGTAACAGAATTCAGACTTGAGTTGACAAGTTGGGGGGGCTTGCTTCCATGGCCATATCCTAAATTTGAAGCAGAATCAAGGCCCGAAAGAGGTACTCTATTCGAATTAAGTGGCCTATTCCCTACATCACCACTTCTTGAACCTATGGAGGAAGCATTCAATGTAGGGGCAGATGAACCCCCAAACTCACGATTCTCGGCTGACTTAGACGGCTTCCTAGGAAGCTTACCAAATAAATTCTTGATCATGACTTCAGAAACAAATGATCTCAACCACAAATCCTGCCAAACCCTCAAAGCAGAACTGAACTGAAAATTCGATACCTCAAATGAAAGAATCAAACCAGATAGACACAACCCATTTCACCAATGAGGTACAAAATCAGCAGTATAAGAAATCGAAAACCCAGATAGAGACACCCATTTATGAAGATTAAATTACCCCCAAAAGTTCCCTTGTTTTCATGTATCATTCTCTTCTAGTAATTCTCCAATTTCTATATATATGTAACAACAAAGTAGAAGAATTTGACACCTTCTGAGGTCAAATTCAGTAACCCAGAAGCAGAAACTGATTTAAGTCAAAGTCCAATAAGCAAAGCTCTTGTCTTTAATCTACTTCCAGGTAAGGACAGCTTGAAGAACATATATATATGTGTGTGTGTGTGTGTGTGTGTATTTTACCAAATCAGCAGCCAAACCCAGATAGCTCTGCGACTGACACGATCTGGGTGCGATCTGAAAAACAAAGATAGCATTCCACAGATATCATTAACAACAAAATGATCAAAGGGAAAGTGATGCATAAAAGAAATATCTATAAGGTGCGAGCAAAAAAGCAAAAGGGTAAGAAACTAAATTGTGAAAAGATGAAATTTTTCTACTTACAGAATCAGCAGGAGTCTTGAGTAAGAGCAAGAAAGCAAAGAGCTTTTCTTTTACTAAATTCTGGGTCAGACGGAGAGAGAGAGGGAGGGAGAGAGAGAGAGAGAGAGAGAGAGAGAGAGGAAGAAGACAAGGTGATCAGAAGAATAGAGCATTCAACAATTTCAGAGTCCTTACTAAATTCAACCTGTGAGAGTTTTGAAAGAAAGTAAAAGGAAAAGTTGGGAAAAGAGAAAAGGTAAAGGAACCAACGCCCTCTCTCTCTAACAAAAGCTTTCTCTCTCTAACTTGGACTTGGAGGGAGGGAGAGAGAGTTCTTGGGATTTTGACACAAGTGAGAGAGCAACATGAAAGAAAAGTCAGCCAACTCGCCGCCAACTCATCGAACCAGAATCTGAGTCTCGGTGTTTTTTTTTTCCTTTGTTGGGATGTTTCCTGGTTTTATTTTAACAGCTCCAAAAAAAGAACAATATCTTCAGTGGAGTCTTTGATATTGTCACTACCCTCTCCCTCTAGTTCCATGATGAGTCTTTTGACCAAACAGAAGAGCGATGTACCATTCTGTGTACCAATTACATTGAAATTTTTTTCTGTGATGAGGTTGTTTGAATTGAAGAACTCCTCCCCGGAGAATAAGTGAGCCTATTACGTCTTTTTTGGTTGAAAAATTATGAGTATTCAATCGGCAAATCAAAGGTTTGAACTTTTTTGGTTGAAAAATTATGAGTATTCAATCGGCAAATCAAAGGTTTGAAGAGAAGAACAAATTTAGTTTCATCTTTTCACCGCAGCTGCCCCCCACTCGTTTAGGCCAACGAGGTTTGGCTCAGGACCAATTTGGAATTGCTGTGTTTTTTAATAAATTATTTGTGATGTGTTTTAAGAATAATTAGCGACAAAATAAAGCAATTGAGCGTTTGATAAATTGTAACTTTAAAAATTTTGAGAATATGAAAAGCAGTGTTAAAACAAGGTCTATAATGATAAGTAACATCATAGTTTAAAATTAATGAGCTTATTTCAGGAGTAAAAAATATTCTAAAGGCTCAACTCCGCTTTTTATTAAAGCAGCTTTTAAAACCAACCTATATGCTACCTTTAAAAGTTGTTGTCCAAGAGTCATTGTTTTTAAAATAAACAGTATATTTTATTTTTATCAAATATTTTTTTATAACTTAACTTTGAAGTGAAGTAATGTTTCGTGAAGAATGTATCGTCCACCAAGGTTGAGCCAAATAGTAAAAAAGTTAATCATATATCGTGCATTGTTGCACAGTAAAATTTTCCTAGTGCCAATCAAGCTCAAGACATTGTGATCTTTAATTGCATACAAAGCCAACAAGTTACGAGATTGTCAATTTTCTTCAGTATAATGAATACTCTTTTTACTCTCACCACCAATTTTAGGCATATCCACAACCTTAAGCCGGAAGGACTTACGTATGATACCTAACTATCAGATACCACCGGTATAGATTTATGTAAAAATTTACAGATCGCGCATCAATAAGAGCTGCTTACAATGAGACTCGAACCTTAGTGAGCAACACACAAGGCAGTGATCTTACCGACTGTGCCAACCCTCGTTGGCAGTATAATGAATACCAAACGGGTGGGGGCAGCTGTGGTGAAAAGAGATGGAACTCAAGCTGTTATGTTCTTCTCTTCAAGCCTTTGATTTGCCGATTGAACACTCGTAATTTGTATCATGCAAATACCTAAGGGGTGGTAGAAGAATTGCATTGTCTGTATATATTATAAGCAAAAGAAGAGCTAGAAAATTAACTTAACAAAAC